TCAGAATACATGGGAGCTTCGGGATCCCGGGCTGGAGCGATGTTGATTGAAGTTCTTTGGATGGCGGCATCTAGCGATTGGAACTCAGCGCGCAAGTCTATGAGATATCGAGGACAAAATATCATGTGTTGGATTGGACAATTCATTTCGATCAGCCTCTGCTTTCTCGGTAATCTCTGGAGCGGTAGAAAACTTTTCGAAATCTGAAAAGCGTTTGATAGAACTTCACGGCGAGCATGCGGGCTCAACTTCACAATTTCATTCGTCCAGGTTTGTTTAGACTTGGGAGGTATCGACGTCGAGCGGAAAGTTCGCGTTCCGTTTACTCGCTGTTCTATATGACGTGCTTCCATTCCTTTGTCAGACATTGCTTGCTCAATTGTCAATTTCCACAGTTCCCTCTCGTGTGCAGGAAAGCTCCTTCGCTAGAACCGTGAGTACCCACGATCCTCGAGTAGGACTTGTATTGGAAATTAGCGGAAAGAACGCATTCGTCGGAACATGGTTCCAAATGGGTCACCCACCCTCACCGTGGGGTGTCTCGGAACTTCGATCAAGCAGCTTCGGGATATCTGAACCCAAATAACTCTCGACCACAATCCCGGGATGAGCGAAAAACGAATCAGGAGTGTCACATTGTCCGATGCAAGAAGTTCCGTGGGGACTCGGCGTACGGAGACGGTACAGGCACGCACAGATATCCGACAAATGGTTCCAAAAAGTGAGAGCGAATAGAGTTCAGGTGAGCCTGCGGATGTTGTAGTCGATGAGCTCCAATAAACTTTTTGAGTACCGATAATCATGCGGGCCCGCGATACAGACTAACCACTCCGTTGTCGACCATTTAAGCCACCGGCTGACTTCACGTCCGCTCGCCGCGATAACTTCGCGAATTTTCGGAAGCCAAGCGACGAAGGACTCGAAAAACATTGAAAACCAGAAAGTCTGATAAATGAAAAAACCACACCTAGCACTACGAGTGATTTGAAACGTTTGTCCCGCCCGGCGTTTCCTGGAGCCTTCACGGAACTCGAATCCCTACGTTCCGGTATATATCTGACTGTTTCAAGGCATTCCTCAGAGCATACATCCGCTCTGAAACCTTAGCGCTGGGTCTTTGATCTTCGGGCAGATCATCCTGATACCTCAGAGCCATGTCGATCATCCAGAATCGACCGACCCATGACAGGAGCCGAAACCTGATCGAGTCCCGAGCCCTCAGGTCGGCGTTCTGACCGACGTTTTATGGCCCACGGCCCCGACCTGCAGATCGTGGAACGCTCGCTATCGCGCTGCGAATGTACGAGAACAGCTGATCGGCAGTGGAAAGTCACCCGAAATTGCGGAATCGGAATATCTTCAGGCTATCAGACACTCAAACTGTGATATGATTCGCGAATCAATCGGGAGCTTTGGCCGAGAGCGACGTTTCCACGTAGATCTTCAGCTAGGCTCGTCAACGCGTACAACACAGTCAACACCACGCCCTACGGTGCCTCCAATGACGAACGCCTTGGGTCGTTGAAATTGTATCTGTAGCCGATGAGACCGTTGGCAAACAACGAACGCTAACCACCGAGTGGAGCCGCCGCTCAGACAAAACACCAGCCAGCTTTCAGGAACCGTTTCAATTTCAATCGGGAATTTATCGCCCTCCACACTGGCTCGCTGACTGACAGACTTCGATGGCGATACACCTCCCTCTGGGTCTTTCTCCCGTCACACTGTTTCAAGTCGTCTCCGTCTGAACGAGCGACTGAAGCGCCGCACATGCTCGGCATCTTTTTGAAAAATCACATCTCGTATATTCTGCCCGCGACTTCTGGCCAGCTCCGCGCCAGAGCAATTCCAATCAGCTACGTCAGAACACACATGAGCCAGAATAGAAGACGAACACATGCGTGTACGGCAGTCACATGCGGCACGAGTACCTATCTGTCTCAGCTTGCCAATCGGTAAACTCACGAAATCACGGGCGAACCCGGGCTTCTTGATTGAGACTATTCTCAGGAAAATGCTGCAGAAAACATCGCAATGTATGGTCCAGTTTGCGGATGGACGGGTCAACTAACGAACGAATCTCGAAGGACGGAACTGAAAGCTGTTTTATGAACGAATTTCAGCTCCAGTGAGTGCACTTGAAACGGTAGCCGTGAAGCCCCATGCCCTCAGGTCACGGACGTCACGCTGACAGGAGTCTCGCTGCCTGACTCGCAGCAGGCCGAATCCAAAAGATCCCAACGCACTCGCACAATCTTCCGGGGTTTCTAGCGCTGAGCCTGAACGTCGCACCGTGACGTCAGATATTCCGACGGTCTTTGAGAATTGCTTCACGAACGAGACGACGCGGCCCCTAGGAGATACGCAAGCCCCGTCCATCTTGGGCCGAGCACGAGGGACAAGCGGACCACTTTGCACAATACCGAGCTCGTTTTCGGTTCTGATAGGCCTCCGTCTCACTGCTCGACTGAACCGCAACTCGTCTGGTCTGCTTTCAGATAGGTCTTGTCGATCGGATTTAGACGGTGAGGGCGTTCGGGCTGAATCCAGGGGCCCCGGATAAAGCAGTTTGTAACTCGGGTTCCTCCCTTTGATGACCTTTACCTCCGGTGGCCCGGAATTCTCACGAGCCCAAATGAATCCAGTTTCCTCTAGGAAATTCTGTTCCCTCCACCAGGCGTCGTCAGTGTGATTTGAGACGCCTCGCGTGAATTCTCGAGAATTAGATTCGAGTTGTGTGAGTTGATTTCCAGGCTGGCGCTTCCCCTCCCCCCCCCTTTATTATTGCTGGGAATCGAGCGGGCGCGATCGCGATTGTTCATGTTCGGAATCTCAAAAGGCGATTGACAGAGACGGCAGATTTGCTGATCAGGCGATCGTAGCTATCACTTATCTGCTCGAGCAAGGAACAAACCACGTCAGCTTCGAGTCAGGAAGTTTCGGGTTGGCGAGCTAATCCTCGTTCTGCCTGTTCCAGTATTCCCCCGGATCCAGCCGACAAGCGTACTACGATGGATTCTGAGCAATCAGCGCCCTCGAAAAAAACCCTCGCTGCCGCCGAGGACGCCAGGACCCAGGACTCTAAGAATGCATTCGAGTCCCGGATATGTGAGAGAAGAGGTACTGAAATCAGCTAGAAGGAATAACGTGTTGACTTGGAGCACATACGCACAATGGCTTCCCGTTGGGTACGGCAGGACTTGTTGTCTTCACGTTGTATCTCAAACGTCTGAATCAAACGCGGACCGTTCTAACCTCGGTCGAATAGTATCGGATGCATATTCGATGCATTCGAAGAAGTTTCCTTGCATATGGCAGCCCAAGTCCGAATATCTCTCGAGCACGCGGCCCCTGAGACTCCGAGCGGCCGTGAGGAAGGTTCCGCTGTCTCATCGTCTGGAAGGCTGAGTGTCGGAGTCGGCTGAGGCTTGCGTCATCCTGAAGCGGACAACCAGATCAATTAGCCCTCGTCCTCTGGCCCCCAGCCCACGTAGTGTATGTGTGCGGCAGCCATGCGTTCAAAATTTATCGAATGAATATTCCCGAGCTCCTTCACAAGAAAACGTCGCCGCGATGTAGGGCTCCTAGTCTCCGAGCCCTGGGACGGACTCCTGTTGTGCTGCATGGTGAGTATCCAATCCAACATTGTGATAATCAGTGCATGGATTGCCGATCGAGATGCATTTGCACGTTCTTCGATCCAGAAGGAAGCTCCTACCGTCGATGATCAGTGATCTGCTCAGCGAAGAGGATGTCTACCGAAATTTTTCTTAGTGCTCAATCAGAACGAACTCACAATGTCAATTCTTCTCTGCTGGGACAGTACGACGAGCCCGAAACAGGATGACCTCAGATTCCATTGGGTCTCAAGAAAAATGACGACCTTCTGACGGAATACGCCGGAAAGCTTCTTCAAAACTGTGACAACCGCCCGCACCGATGCCACGACCTCATAAAAGAGATCCTGGACCGAGGCTCATTCTGTCCAGAGAAATCGAACATTTGAATAGCGTGTCTCATGGAACAGAACGAAGTTCCCTTTTTTGGTTCAAGATTCCAGATGATGCTTTTCCGCTCAGAAGTTGATATACACGTATCCCAATGGCTCACAATCCGGGTAGGCAGTGGGCCTTCACCACTACCATCCGTGGTATGGTAGTGGTCCACTATCCGCCAATGCGCGCGACTATCTCGAAAACGCGATGGCGCTCAGACCGACTCCGGGTCCCGCTCCGACCACGTTAACGGAACAAACACGACCGGGCAATGCTTGCTTTCTTCAAGGCGAATCGCTCGACTCCGGAATCATCCCCCGAAGCTTTAAGTTTGAATCGAATACCGACATCAAGCGAGCACAAAGCTGGCTGAAAAGTTCTCCGAGCCGGCGCCAGCGTTGGTACCCAAGCAACGCCTCCTTATCCATGAGCACGGTGAGCAGCATTCATGAGCAGCCTACGAGGCCGGAGACTATCATGCAGCTCGCCGATCTTTCGGAAAAGCTCTGGAACTCGTTCGACGGCCCAACCACAGCCCTCTAGCCGAGAAATGGGAGCCTGTGCTCGACACTTCCGCCCACCCGAGTTTGGCGGAACGATCTCAACGACCCACCAGGCATTGAGTCTCGAACTCCTGTCAAGAAAGAAGATGACTCGCCTGAGGTAGCCGTGGAGTTGAGAGCGGAATAGATTTTTTGCCATCGATCCCTTACGCAAAGAGTTGAGTTCATCCCGTCACCACGGAATACTGTGGCTATGCAGGCTCCGTCGTTTTCCTCCATCTTTCTTTTTCAAGCACCTAACACTCGGGGTGGGTAGAGGAACGATTTTCTGTCATGATATGCTTAAAGTTTCCCGCTTTCGAAGACCATGGGGCACTTCGGAGATCCGGGGATGTTACGAAGGGAAAACGAAGGGGGTGTTAGGGCTCATGCCTGTATGGGAGTAACGTAAGATTCGGCCCAACTCCTTCATTTCGCTGTACACGGATTGAGTTTTATTTACAGCTGATCGAAGCTGAGGTTCGCTTCTTCATGCATATATTATGGATCTAGAAATATTCTCTTTTTTACAGACGGTCAGAAGCTGTTGTGCTCTATGAGCGGCTCAATGACACGGACTTTGCTTCTCTCTTCTTCTTATAATTGGCCCACACGACCCGGTAGAACACGTCGGTTTCACAGTAGGCCGTGTAAACGAGGAACACGATCAGTGCCTGTGGAAATGTAATGTCTTCAATCGAAAGCTCTGCACTTGATGATGCTCCCCGCATCAGTACTCCTTGAATTATTGGAAGATCCCCGAAGATTGAATGTTCCGAAAGCATGAGAAATTGTATACCATCAGAACTGATGTGACGGCTTGCAGGTTCCCGTTTCCGTCTTGAACGTAGCCTGTGGTTGTGATGCCGTGGAAGAACAACGCCAGCGTCACTAGCAGAGACCGTTTGAGAATGCCTCTCTGGACGGTTGTCATCCGATACTCTGATGGGTTGGTGGAGGCGATCCCGACCTCCGTCAGGATCAAACCGTAGATCGTCGATCCGATTACGATCAGAGCGGTGAATTGCGCATCGGGAACTGTCACGATGTTCTCCAATGTTCCCCAGTAGCTGAACGAGAAGAATTCGAAGTTCTTTATTGAGATTGAAAGTTCTGCTGATCGAGAGGGGAGCTGCTCGACTTAAGAGCAGGTATCAAGTCGATCGAATTTAGCAAAACTCACGAGTGTTTGTCGGTGTCGGCGAATTGTTGGAGACTGAAAGAAGAAGCCAGCAGCAAGGCCGGAGCGAGCCAAGTGATGCCCAAGCACATGTAGATGTTTATCCTCCCCTTCACAAATCCGCGCTCCGGGTCTACATAGAGCATCAACATGACAAGGACTTGCTGAGCGTGGCAGACGAGAATGTAAAACTGCCGAAACAATTTGACCCTTGGACGCTGCGCCTGGAACGAGCGAAATTGTCAGGAGGGAAGCTGTCAACCTTCCGGCCCAGGGTCCGGGACCGACACCGACCTCCAAATTCCCCGCTGACCCGGTCTTACCTCGTCAAGTACAGAGGAAGCTTCGAAGAGAGATGTGGTGAACAGAGCAAGAAGCGCGACACACACATTCAGCTTGACGCATTTGACCAAGCCCCAAGAACTGTTCGTGCAACTGATGGACAGCGCACAAGTGAAGGTGATGAATATTCCGATTATCGCGCACACGTTCCGGAGAATAGGCGTCTCCGCTGTCTTAGGTTCCGGATGAGGTGATTCCGGCTCGGCATACAGGGCGAAAAGTGAAGACCCCCGGCTCTCGCATGAAAAATCGCCGTTGATTTCAGTCACCTCGTTTCCGGAGAAATCGACTTCGCTGCCGTCTATGATGCGCGCGCACCGAATCGATGTGTTGAGAGGCTGGAATGAGATACGACTTCAGATTCCCGAATCGCATTGAGGGGACGGTCGAATGCTTTGAGCGTCTAGAGCTCCGTGTACAGAAGGAGCATTCCATGGCGAAGATTTTCGCTCTTTCCCGATGAGTCGACTCCGAGAAACTACCGGCGCTCCCCCCGACGATGGCGTCCGTCAGGATCTCGCCCGGGGGTAATTTCTCGGCCACGGTCAGAGTTCCCAGTTAGCTCGACTCGCTTCACTGGGCAGGCATAGAACACAGTCCACTCCGGTAGGTTGCTCCGGATGAATACGTACGGTGATAATCGTTAGCTGATGGCGGAGGATAAATGTTGCACATCTTACCGGGTTGAGTCTGAAGTTGATGACTGTTTTCTCGTTCGAAAGGTAGATCAGGGATTGATTCCTTTCGAATAGAGTCGCGGCTTTGAAATTCACCAACTTCGTCAGAAGGTTCAGAGAACCTCTTCGTTGTATCCACTCCAACCTGGACAGGTATTCTCTCCCGAGAGACTTGAATGTTAGTAGACTGAGTATCAACTTGTCACCACCTGAAACAGAAGATAGCAATGTTTTCCATCTTTCCGAGGTACATTGTTTCAGCTAAGGGTGGATATCAATCCAACGATCAACCGCCCAACAAGAGGAAAAAAACAATATCGTCCGTAACATGCGAATAATGTATGAGGTAACTCACGGGAATCCCCCGCCTTCCGGTACACACGACCCGTTACGCTTTTGTCACTGGAAGCAGCTCTGTACAGAGCGACGTATCCGCTGGAGGGAGCCGTAAGCTCGAATACCTCTGCTGAAATTTCTGCAGAGAGGAAGATGATTAGGCTCGCTTTTCTGCTTTATTGTCGAAGAATCGTAAACTCGGCGTGGTTGAGATCATATGGGCACAAACCAACCGAAAAGGTCGTTCTCGTAGTGGAACTTCGTTTGTGGTGGCTGATTGCTGAGGTAACGTATCACAACTTGTGGAATCATGTCGTTCAACTTTGCGTAGAAGCGATCATCGCTCACCGCATTCGCTGCAAGGGGAGTATCAACGTCAACGTTTCTCAGTTATGGAGCGACGATGGTTGTGGTTGCTATTGCAGCAAAAAAATCTGGATATCCGCCGATATACTCACAAACATTGAAGGTCGCTGTCAAGCAGTCCAGGAATAAGAGAGCAGCTGTTCTCCGATTCTTAATTTCCGGGTGAGTTCGCGGGAGTCCATCATCGTACTCCAGAACCTCATGGAGAGTTTCTATGATGTGATTTCCCTCACCGGGGAGGACGTGGTCTTTGCGGTAGGTCAAGTAGTCGGCCAATCGCGCCAGCGAGTCTATGACCGTGGTCATCTGATATCCACGAGCCAGCCCGAGGATCTGCAAAGGAGCGGGTGCGGATGAAAATCGAAAAACATTGAGAGGCCCGCGGATCTTCACAATGGACTTCAGCTGAGCGGATCGATTCTAGTGGGTGGTCGCTCACCTCTTTGCGGATCTCGTAGATTTCTTGGAAGGCACAATCAAAAAAGTCCGGAACGGCCCAGTGTACGCTCCCGTCAGGATCTTGAACGCACATACGTTTTGCTTCGCCCTTCGGTGGAGTTGAGAACATGCAGTTTTGAACATCGAAGCTGCCCACGACTGTTCTCTTCCACATCACCCCGAGATGTTCTTCGGCCGGGCAGAATTTGCTGGTATCTGTGGCGAGCGAAGAATTCCCGCTTTTGAATACACAGAATTGCGAAGGTCTATCGCTACACAATAGAGTCGGGGATGGGACATGACGGGGCTCGCTGGGGAGACTCACTTGAATACGGGAAGACGTAGGAGAGCATCTCAGTGGAGAACTTGGGTGTTTCGATAGCGCACTTGTACTCCGCGTACGAACGAACAGCCGGGAGGACGAGTCGGCTGCGGCTCGGATGCAGGGGCTCGACATACTCTTCATCGAGACTCTTGAACGTGATGGGGACCCATTTTTTCTTCGCATTCGAATCATCTCTCACGGTGTTCTTGTACCACACGTAAGATAACTCGTCATAGCTGCAAAAGTATGATTCGTTCCAGTTGGTCGGAGCCAATTTCCGAATCGTCCCGTCTGCGAGCAGACACTCAAATCGTTCGCAAGAGCAACTGAAGTCCCTCCACTTACTAGACTCGGATGCCGCACCAAAGCTCTGTGGGTCTGCCAAACTCGACGTTTTGCGCCGAAGGGCTGAGTGCCCCACTAGGCTGCATCTTTATGTCCAGGGTCAGGCTCCGGCGGCGTTTCTCGCCGTTCCACGAAATCTCACAGGTGAAAACACCGCGATCGATATATTGAACGTGATCCAGGCCCAAGTATGTTGAGAATGTTCGTCCTGTTCGGCTGCGTTTGCTGCGCTCGATCCAAACATTTCCCGGACCGTATAGCGGGTTGATCAGGGCTCCATCCTGATTTAGGGCACACGATCAATTAATAATGATCCCAGATTATCGAGTCGATCAGGCAGATGGAGACTCAGCCGAAAACTGAACTTACTTTGTACCAGTTGATGTCTGCCTCCACCGAAGATCGATATTCACAGGAGAGGACCAGGGGGGTGTTTCCCTCTTGGACGGGCATCGGTTTGTTCGAAACTACACTCAGGACGACGAATTCTTCATTTTCGATGTGCTTCGTCTTGTAGCGTTTCTTCAGAGCCTCCTTGACTTCGGATGTGTGATTTCTCGTCACGACTATCTCGTACGAAGCCGTCGCGTGGGATGATATGTTCACCAACGTCGCGTTACGTATGTTCTCGATGCCGAGCAGCTCATCTGGAATGGAGAAAAGATGATTCGGTGATCCTCGATCGACAATCAAAAGCGAGCATTCGCGAGGATGCGAACTCCGCGACCTCGATTATAAGTTTCCACCGTGTCGAAGAAGGGCGTTTCGAACGTTTCCCGAACGAAGAATGGCTCCTCTCTTACCCGAAATAGTTTCGAGATTGGTTTCATTCGAATATTCGAATTCCCAAAATATATGCTCGAAAGGATATCTGACGCATTTCTTGGTCTCCGAGATCTTCCATCCGCCTTCACAGTCGCAGCCGACGAGGCGGTTCCCAGCCTCGCATTCACACCGAGCGTTCCTATCGTTCGATGATGTACAGGAAGACATCTGGTCGGCCGAGCAGCTCTGCTCCCTGCACTGATTCGGCTCATACTTCCGATCACATTCTTGTCCTGGAACAAAATCCCCTGTGTTTTCCTCATACTGTGGAACTCCAGTATTCCCTACGCTAGCATGTCTTCTCGTCTCTCCGTCACAAAAAAAGACGAAACCGCTCCGCTTCACGAAATCGATCGTTCAGCTCCCCTCCAAGACTGCCGTCATTCGACTAACCTGTATAGCCCGGCTCACAGAAACACAGCAAGGTTGTCAGTCCCATGAAGTGCTCACATCTGGTCGCATGCTTACAGCGTTCCTTGTTCTTCTCGTTACAACGGCTCGAATACTGGCATGCTCTCCCCCAGAATCCTTTGAAGCAATCGCAGTAGTACGAAGTCAGATCCGCATTAGCTCGGCACATCCCGTTGTAGCTGGAGGTAATGCAGAGTATGTTTGAGCGGTACACGAGAGGACTGCGTGAAGCTGGACATTCGATGTCGCTTTGGACTATCCCTCCGGAGAGGTCGGAGACACTCACCTGCATTGATGTTTCATGCAAGGCTCCGAGACGCTGGGATCGTCATCTAGTTTCGTTTTTCGTTGATGTTGATGATTTCGTACGTGATATTGAAGCCATAAACATCCATCAAGTTCTCGGGAACTCGGAGGTTGGCTCCTATGGGGTTCTTGACCTCGACATGTATGACTGTATAGAGTTGCGGAATGATCAGACTGGTAGGTCTCGTCGGTGCTGATATGACCTTGCGCGATACTCTCGGCGAGTTCTTTGGCGAGTCTATCCTGGAATCCGCAGCGAAACGAGCGCTTTTAGCACGAGCTGTCAGCCACCAATACTCTCTGAGCCGGGCGACGTAATGCGCCGTATGTTCTCTCATTGCTCATGCTACACTTCGACGTACCCCGTGAACTGCTTGTAGGATTCGACGGCGATCTCGGTGAGGAAAAACTGTGTGAAGTACAGGATTGTTTTCGTTTGTCTCTCTTTCGTGTGACGTTCACGCTGAATCACATAACAGCTGCGTAGCGGGACCGGATAGGATTTGGGAAAATTGGGGGTGCTGATCACTCCTTTCGGCGCTGTGAGCCACTGGCAGTCCAATGCGTGGCCCGACGTGACAAATGCTAACAGCACGGATGCCGTCACCAGGTTGCCTGTGAAAAGTTCCCCATGTCATATGTTTTCGGAAAGAGTAGCTCCGGAGCGGAGCGGAGCCATGTCGGATAAGAGCCCTACTGCGCGATGAGTTTCGCTGACTGAGGGGCGGCGCTTTAGCACTCTGGGAGCACCGGGACAAAGTCTTCGCTAGCTCGAAGATGAAATATGCATCGTCGATTTGAGCTCGGTCACTCATAGTAGAACGAATATTGACTCTTACTTAGACCCAGAGATAAAGCCATGTTGTAGAAACGGCCCTTCCGACTGATTCAATCCATCCGACCAGAGATCCGGCGGACAACTCGACTCAATGCGGATCTCTGACGCGTTTCAAGTTCATCATGACTCCAAATCACGGTTGACTGATAAGCTTTAACTTCTGTCGACTTCTTCTGCAGGGTGATGAACAGCAGAACACACAGAGTTGTACGACGTTTGGTCGTCAAAACATTGCAGACGACCATGGAGAGGGAGAGGAGGTGAGGGAAGAGACGGCGCGAAATTCCACTGCTGGAGAGAGATAGATACACCAGCCACCACCGGCTACATAGCGCACCGCCGCAACCCACGAAAGGCTGAATTCGGGCGTATGGATCGTCTCTGGAATGTTTCCGATACGACAATAGGACGACCGTAGAGTCGATCTGAGTCTAGACCGAGTCGAGACGTTAATTCCACGCAGACGCGATGACAGATTATGTATTCGAAACCCTTGCCCGAAATCGAGGATCGGTCAATCATCATTCAACCCGTCGCGCTCCCATCCGGACACTTCTGCGTCGGAGAGCTTTTCGGGTATATGTTGTACGCTGAGAAGAGACGTTGCGAGATGAAAAGACGGACCCGGCCGGACGCTTCTGAAGCTTCCGGGTCGCCTCGCGGATTTCGCAGAGACAGAGCTCATTCTCGTGCGCGATATGTCTCCTTGGTAGTGCCTCCTCTATCTTGTCGCCGCTATGATCCTCCCTAATCCATTGAAACAAGGAGAAAGAATCCACTCGATGCTGTGTCGAGACTGTGGTGAACCACGTCTCCGAATAATCCACGCTCAGTTGGAAATGGCTTCGTCGCACCATATCATCCTTTTACTGACCGTTTTCTATTTCTGCCCAGCGCTTTCTGCAGACGAAGGTTCAGTTTTGCGTGAATTGGATCCGAGTTAAATCACTGCTGACATTCAAAACAGAGTTCGGTCGATTCAAAACTGGTGTTTCCGGACTCGAACTATTGATTTGAGTGTTCATCTTCCCATCAGGGCCGAGACGTCTGGAAGCGCGAGTGAATTCTCTCGGGAATGGCTTCATTTCCATCACGTATTCGTGGGAGAGGGGTTCATGCTCGACAGAAGGTACGGAATACACCTTGCTCCTGCTTGGAATGGAAGCACCGCTGACAACTCGAAATTCGACTATCGACATCGACGGTCTGGAGTTCTGGACCCACTATACGGTTTCGTTGAGGGCTAGCGCGCCTTGTCCTCAAACTTGGTTGAATCTTACAACATACACCGGACCTGGAGGTGAAAGTCGCTTGCTTCCCTGAAATCATACATACATATATTCGAAATCCCTTTACCATCTGCAACTCCGAACGTTTTCCTTTTCGAGAAAAAGTTTTGATTCATTGAATGAATACTCCGGGTCTCGAAATCATCGGGGGCTTCCGAGATATCTTGCCCTCAGCAGACAATCTTAAAGTCCTTCCCGCTCAGAGCCGCATAAGATTAAAAAGCTGATCGCTGCCCCGAACGGCGATGAGCTGCAACTGCTTGTGGAGGAGGCGTCCATGCCTAAGGCTGTCACGTCCTACGTGTTGAATATCAGCGATCAGTCACAGACGGAGATCTCCACGCTCCATAGAGAGGCGTCGAGGGTCAACGATGGGGTGAGACATGGGATCAAATTCCGCCTTATATGAATCCTTCCATCTGAGGCGGAACGGAAGGCTCCCTATGCATCATAGAGAGGAAATACGCCAGAAAACATCGGACCCGTATCACGTATTCTGTATTATGGGATGACAGGTGCTTCGTTCTAGGTCTGGAGAATCACAGTTCTGAGAAAGCTCGTCCCCGGCATCGTTTACAAGATTTCTGTCGCTCCCCAAATTGTGGACAAGGGCAAGTTTTACTCGGGAGAGGAGCTTACGGTGGATCCGAGGTGTGAGTTTGGCCCATTCCTTCCTCGTTTTGAATCATATGCATCTCCTGAGAGCATGCTGCCAACGCTCTTCGAGAGCGCTCAGATTTCTCCCGATTTCACTTCGCTGGCCAGCTCGGGAGGGTACTCCCGATCCAACCCTGGTCATTGCCCAAAGTCCGGCGGCGAGCTCATTCATGAATTTCCCGATTGTGAATTCCAGTCTATGCAAAAATATCTAATCTGACTGCTCAATTGTACTACATGGAACACTTCGAGCCTGGCAAGGGAATCCGAGCCGAACTTGCTTGGGAGGTGGGTTGCTCTCTCAATCTATTGGAACTCTGTGCAAATCGTCATAGAATACGTCGGATCGGAGAACCTTGAGCAATCTCCCCGCCCTGGCGTTTTCGATTTACTCTAATCGAAATAGAGCCGTGACAAACGTGAAGATCTGTCGTAAGGAAGAAACTATCGGTGCATCGTAATCCTAGGAAGCCGTCTTGCGCGATTGATCGAATTGGACTGAGAGAGTTCAGGTTGACGAGTTCTAAGGGATTCCCTATCTCCCATAGTGCAGCGGAGATGATTCCGACTTCGACCATTTCACTGTCACCAAGGGGAAGACGAACGAAAAGCCGGATCGACCCATCAAAACTAATGCCTACAAACTGTCTCTCAGAGGCTTAGAATTCAATTCCTCGTACACGGTGAACGTCGCTGCCGCTTTCCGAGCTCACGGGAAGGAGATGGTCCACACAAGCGCAAGCATCACCTTCGGTGAGAGCTTCCAAGTGACAAAGTTCGGATTCTCAGCCCCATACTGACATGAGTGAGAAGAAAAATCCCGGGTACGCCCCTGCCGAGCGAGGATCTCTGCGTCCACGCTCTGCGCCGACTACCTCAGATGGGCAGGATTGAAGGTCCGTGTAATGACGCAGACATGATGACTTGAGACTCTAACGCCCCGTACAGATACCATTCAAAAACTTCTGCCGCCCACCGATCTCCAAGTCGCTCACCTGAGTACGAGCGAAGTTCTTTTGGGATGGAAGGCTGCTGTGCACTTCGATTCGGGGGTTAGAATCTCGGAACTCAAGTTCAGAGTTGAATACCTGACAAAGGGTCGACCCGCGCAAACAGTGATCGTAGAGGCTCCTCGCGCAAAGCTAACCGGTCTCGAAAGATCCACAACGTACACGGCCAAGGTCACTGCAACTCTCGAGAAGTGGGTAGAAGCTGACGCGGAGCCTTTCGTCTTTGAAACACGGAGGGAAGGTAATGAGTCATTTTGGGGTCCGAATTCAACTAACTGAACCTCGGTTGGTACTCATCGTTCCGGATCTTCTTCCGGGACCCATTCTCCCATGGGCTGTCGTTCTTTACACAGATTGGCCGACCGCGATTATCAGAAAAGCTTCAGTTCTGTCGACTGGGGCCGGTGACAAGGCGCTCTACGACTTCGAGTGGGATCTTCCCGATACTGAAAAACCTGGTCGGTTCGAAGCCATCGTCTGTGATATCCAGTGCTTCGAACTACCGATCAGTTCCGGGAAGAAACATCTTGTAGCTGAGCTGGATTATCATATAGACTACAACCTGACCGTTCGGACCGTGTACATCCAGCCCTTGGATCAGACCATCTCAAGGCTTTCTCAGCCCTGGATTGGCAAGAGCACCGTCGGCCGTCCAGACGCAGTCGATTTCAAGAGAATCGTGCAGAATTTCAACTCGCTGAATCTTGAATGGGAACCTCCGAAAAAGACGAGGGGTCCGATAAATCATTACCACATCGAAGTTTGGGATGCATTCGATAGTACCCGCAAGAAGTCGTGAGTAGTCCCGGTCTTCTCTCAATCGCTGACAGAGAGGGTCGCCTGAGACTTCTGCGGAGTCTCTCGGGAGAATCGTTCCCTGAGGGGAAAATTCAAACATTTTGTTCACAGCTTACTGATTATGCTTTCTGCGCAGTGTCGACTCTTCAGGTCTTCACGCCGCGATCGCTTTGCCGCCTCTCTCGCGTGGTATCTATAAAGTTACTCTTACCGCCGTTTCTGTGGACGACACGACCAACCAAGAATTCCGCAGCGAAATATTAAGTGAAAATCCACGCGGGATCGAGCTCTTACGTGAGTCGAGTAGCATCTTATCTATTTTCTTCCCGATTCGGAATCTCAGCCGACGGAGACTCAGACAGCGATTCGGTATGCCCTCAGCGCCACCCACGAAAATCGAGACGGTCGAGCGTTCAGATCACTCGATCAAGCTCCGAGTCGTGTCTTCATCCACTTCACCGCTCATCAAGTACCGAGTTCGATGGATCGCGAATGAGCCCGGTGCCTTGGAAGCTGACCAGTTCGTGCTCGATCAGCTCGAGCCGTACACTCCCGTCGATTACAATGTTAGCGCCTGCTTCTTGGACTCAGCAGAGGAACCACTGTGCGGAGAACCAATTCCGTTCACCGCAATGACGAACGTTGGCAGTGAGTATTGCAGCAGATATCCCGACGCTGAATGAGCTCGATTGCCGGGAGTAGGGCAGTAGTATCAGTTTGATCTTAGATCTCCGCCAGGTTTCCCTCGGTAGTACCGAGGCGTCATTCAATATATCTCCTCGAAAGGCTCCAGGATAATAAACCTACGAGAGCGTGAATTCACCTTCTATGACCTCCAGGCCCCTTCGCGGTACGCAATTTCAAGGTTGTGGGGTACGAAAACAATTCGCTCGATCTCACGTGGGACGCACCGTTGGCCAAGAATGGTCCATTGGACGGGTACATTATTGAGCTTGCTGAGAGGAGTAATCTTCTCTCCACTCAAGTCAACTACACTTCGGAGCCTTCATCCTCTGCATATCTGATCTCGGACTTGACCAGAGGCTCATCGTAAGAGAGATTCCATTAAAGATTCCCCATGAATTTTCTCCCATATAAAACTCGCTGCCCGATCAATGTACTTTAACAGGACCCCCCCCCCCCCACTTCCCCTAACATGTATGCGGCGACACTCAGGAAGCATGAAAATCCGCCATCGAGCGCTTCTTGAGACTTCATATCGAGCAACGATTCTCGCATTCCAGGTATGACATAAGCATCGCGGCTTACAACATCGATCTGGACTCGAAGAGAATGGTGATCGGTGAGGTGTCCTATATGTCGGTAGACTTCCCGAGATCCGCTGGTTGGATCATACCTGTCGCTGTCTTCGCTCTGCTCACGGCGATCGGAAGCTCCGCGGGAGGTGTGTACGCGTATCGGAAGAGGATTCAAAAAACGAATGCTCCCGCAGTGACTTACTCAGTTTCCGATGCCCGAGTCGACACTTGATTTGATGAGGCTCACAATCAGTGTATATTCAACGAAAAATACACGAGCCGACTCGATCAAAGTGGCGACTTCGTTTTGTACTCATTGTCAGAACCTACGAGACCCAAGGCTCACCCTCGCTATCCCAAAACCTCCCGATCAGAGCATTCCTGGTTTATTGATATTTCTCATTGATTCCATCGGAATGAAGACGATCGGCCATGGCCTATGAGATATTTGGCAGACAAAGAAGTAAAAGTTAGGGACAGGTTAGGTAGGAGAGCGGAGAGGCACAAGCATCGCTCGAGTGGGAGGACTCCCGAGATGGTCGTCTCTGACCACCACCCTTCTATCGGGGGAAGCTGATTCGATGCCGGGATGCGAGTTCCCTTATCCCTGATCTCCGAAGAATGATTCCGAGAAACCGGATCTATCGGAGAGAGCGCTGCTTCTACGTATCCCGCATTCCATCTTTCAATCCCTCGGCAGATTCATTGGAGAGCCTAGAAAATCGAGATGCAATAAGCGGAGGAAGTATCGGAAAACCTCGATATCGAGCTGATTCATGTGCAGTCCAGGACCGATAAGCGTTATCACCGCTTGCTATAATTGGTGAAAGTTCACCGTCAATCCACTCAGCTACTCACGTCCGGAATTCCCAGAGATGAATACCTACAGAGCTCAAGTTCGGACCTCGAATTGGATCATCGGAGCTCTCCTGAAGATGTTCACCCCGTAGGCCGCAGATAACTCCGCCGTGATTCGGCCTAATCCGACCAGCCAACCGGCCAACAATAGGCTTTAAAGAGAGAAATCAAGAAGTTGCGAGGACGGACCGCCCGAATTCGGTCAGACGTTCGGCGAGGATCATCGACATCATCGCCTTCACTCTCCTGACGACAGATTCCATTTTCGTGAATTTTTACCCCGCGTTCCTCACGGACGCGTCTCCTCTTAGAGCCAGCATCGTCAGGTTGTACGATCTTTAGAGCAGGAACTCCACCCGACTAGAGTACGCCGTGCGAGCGTACCAGCCGACCTGTACGGCTACTCCTCCATCCTGGTCGTCCTGAGATGTGCTACTAGTCAGGATGCCTCGTAGGGCACTCCACAGCTTGGGCGACCGCTCTGGCTCGGATTCGGACGATTGTATGTTCGACCAAACCAATCTCCTACAGCGGAGGCGGCTGAATATCACCCGATTGCGAAGGAACAGTGCCACCATTTCAGGACAACGCCTCACCGTTGCTAGGACGGTGAATCTGTGTCTGTCATTTTTTGCTCTAGTAAGTTTCCTTGATTTTATTATTATCGACAAGAGAGCGCTCATAACGTCCCCAGTCGAGCTTGGGCAATTGTTCGATTTCCGGAGTGCGAGCGTGCAGCTCAACGAATTGGAACAGCTGTGCGGAGACCTCTCTGGCGGGAAGGGAGCTGTCAAATCCACAACACTAATCAGAGCCTATTCCGTTTTACAGGGATTGTGTTTTGTGATTCCCACCGCGACCATTAACGGTCTCCAGTACAGGACGGCCTCGAGTGAAGAGCAGATTGACTTCATTTATACAGCTCGATATGGGGGCTACATCGTTGGCTGCTTCGCCGGTGGCTTCCTCTTCAATTGTTATAATCGACAATTTCTTCTATTTGTCGCACTCCTCGCAACGGCCATCGGAGTTCTCATCATGCCATTCTGTCGAGTTCTCTCGGTGTTGATGACATGCACCTGTGTCACCGGAATCACTATGGGGCTCCTGGACACTGGTGGTAATGTTTGGTTGTTGGATCTCTGGGGACGCAAGAGCGCGCCCTTTATGCAAATGATGCATTTCTGTTTCGGGCTCGGAGCCCTCGTCGCTCCCTTGGTCGCGCAGCCCTTCATCCATCCGTACAGTGCATTCGGATCTCAACTCGCCCTGAACGGCAGCCGGACTCTGTTGCCGCCTCTGGGGCCTCATCTGTCCGGGAACTCGCATCCAGAGCATTTAATGAAACGAGACCTGAGTGGAATGAAATATAATTTATCGCAACCGATCATTGCCTCGAAAGCTCTCACAAACCTGACCGTCGATGTCACAACCTCGGGAGCTACTTCAGTCGTTGAGACGCTGCCGAAAAAACCGCACTTCGCGGACTCGAAGAAAATCGAGGACGCGTGGGAGCGCAAACCTCTGGGCAGCTCCAACACCACGACCCCGAAGGCAACAACAACAACAACGACGGCAAAAATCTTGCTCGCCAACCAAACCACGTCTTCTCATGCTACAGTGCCAATACCGCGAAATTCCATATCTACCACCACGAGCACTCCCGTCCCCACGAACAGCTTGTCCTCACCGATGCCGAATGTGATCTTGCATGAATCTGTGACGGCTACGTCACCCAACACGAGCAGCTCTTCCGCAACGAGATCATCAACGTCCACGACAGAAGTCTCAACGAGGATGGAAGAAACGACGGTCACCAATGAAATTCTCAGGACATCGGCGTCCCACGAGCAGCCAGCAATAATCGGTCAGGGTAGCAGAAACGAGCTCCCAAATCGAGACTCGACCATGAAAACGACGTCATCGACAGTTCCAACGCAGTCCACTTCCACGGCGACGAGTCCCAAGAGCTCCGTCCCCGCATCGTCGGTAGCGAAGCACCACAGCATCAAGAAGGTGCTTCCAGAGGAAGATCAACAAGAATCGTGGCTGGAGCAAGCTCGGAGAAAAATCCAGAAATCGGGCAAGTTCGAGATCGCATACGCCATCCTCGCGGCGTACGTTCTGCTCGTCTCTGTCGTGTTCTTGTTGTTCCTCTGCCTGAATCCTCGTGAGGCCAAATCCAAGCAAGAAGACGAACTCGACGACCTCCACCAGAGCTCCTCAATGAGAATGCCTCTCATAGTTCTCATGTGTTGTTTTTTCTTCCTATACATGGGTGCTGAAGTCGCGGTCGGCGAAACTTTGAAGTCGCTGCAGTTCCACCAGGACGTTCATCCAATCGTCACGGGAGAACAGCTCATATATATTTTCTGGGGGAGTTTTGCTTTCGCGCGAGGCGTTTCTATATTCGTTTCTATGAGTGTCTCGTGTCGAACGATGCTCATCTGTGACATTGTTATTTGCATCGGAGCCGCCATATTACTGGTCGCGGGTGCTCAGATGACTTACTGTCTGATCGTCGGTATCGTCCTCCTGGGGAGCGGGATGGCTTCGATTATCCCAACGTCATTCATCTGGCTCGAGTTACACACGCAAGTTACGAACAGATTATCCGCGCTCCTGATATTGAGCGCAGCGGTCGGGGAGATGGTTATTCCCGAGCTGGTATCTGCCTTCATTAGGAAAACGCCCATGGCCCTGATGTACGTCATCCTCGCCGTCATTCTCCTGTGTACCGTCAATCTGGCAGCTCTCTGGTGAGTGAATCAAGCAGTTTTTCGTTGACGTTGCAGCTCGAGTCGATGGAGAACCTCATCTGGAAAGGTCTCCGGCTGATATGGACCTTGGACGTCAGTTCATGCATTGATCGGAAACAATCAACTATGCGTACGAACTAAATGCCACAATGCTTCCAGCTATGTGATGTCGATACGCGGCGAGAAGTACATGACCAAACCCGACAGGTCTCTCTACCAACTTGCCAGTCTGGAGGACGACCAGGACCACTGGAACAACTCTAACAAATCCCAACAAGAGGGTAGGCTCACATGTCCTCCCTGGATGGATTCCGAATCGGTGTAGAAAACCCTCCCTGACACTAGTGTCTCCTCGTTGCAGGAGTTCTAGTTAAGCGTAACAAGACAAACTCGTTCTTCTACGATCGCCTGAACAATCTCGACAGTTAGGATTCTTGTAGGAAAACATCCCGAACAAGGTTCCGAAAGTCTTCAGCTAACCTGCTCGACGATCTGGCCGCTTGCTCCTTCGGCGAAGGGAGCCCGAGAAGGCACTCGAACGAACAGGAATGATTCCGCGCTTTCCTGCTGCGTTCCGGAAGAGAGAGCCATCCCCCTGCTCCAGTGGTCATCCCCTTCGTGATTGGTCCTCGAAATTGTCGGAATCCGCTTCGAGGTGCGATGCACGCTCTCGATCCACCGTGCCGGTGTGGAACATTCCTGGATTTTGGAGCTTTCTTGAAAGTGATTCTGTTTTGAAGCATTCCTAGATACACATTGGACTCGCTCAGTGATAGCCCGAGAATCGGTTGACTAAGTGCGTCCTCCTAATCGTTGGACGAGTCCCCAATCCACTCTTCCAGCCCCCAATCGTCAATGCTTACGGACGTCGCACCAATCGTGAACGAAACTTCCTCCATGTAAATAAATAGAAGACCGCGCAGTCCAGTTGTGAGCGTGATAAGGATTTGCGAGGATCTAGCTCAAAGTCGAATCGCTAGGAAATAGCTTGAGTCATCGACGGCACTAATAATTGAGCATTTTGAGTGAAACACAGAGAGGTACTCGATTTCTCAACCATAGAGCCAGAACCAGGAGCCGTCTTTAGGACGAAGCCAAATGAAGCTATAAGTGAGGCTCAAATGTCTTCTGATCGACCACCCCTCGGGGTTTGTCTTCATAAGAATTTCTTTCCTCAACTCATGGAGCGGCGAATGATAGCTTTGCCGGCTGATCTGATTCTCTGGGGCTGACCACAGAACAAGAGAAATACGTCAACTTTGGATGCTGTTCAAAGTCCCGGAGGACAATCATGAAAACAGAGAATAATCGACGGATCTTCAATCAATCTGAGGGAGTAAAGCATCCTTCTCAGCTCCCAAAGGAGAAAGAGCCCTCACGGAGAGAATCCTGTTGCTGAGTGATCTGCTTGAAGATGATAGTCCCTCCGACGTTTCAGATAATGAAGTGCCGCTTCATTTTGGTGCCATTTCTGTTGAATGTGAGTTGAGGTCGGTTCTTGCTCCGTCCGCAGACGCTAAGCGTGTCCGAATAAAAGGAACGGTTGAATTGCAAGGCTAAACTCTGAGTACTCTCGATTCATCACCGTTTTCCCGAAATGATTGTTGGCTCTCTTAAATACGGGAATCGGATTCGGGATGACTCTCGTAGTCCTCCCATGGGGGGTCATTTCGGCAACGGTGAAACGCGCCCTGCGTTCGAACGGTGAAATCCAACGCTCGCCAAGGGAGCAGTCAGATTCCGAACACCCGCGACCTCGGAGAAACCTCGTATGGGGTCAAGGGAAGCCGGGAGATTCGGAGTCGAGATACTATTGTCTGCTTCAATATGGGTATTTGGGCTCCCGACCCACCAGTTCGAAAGCCCCTCGGATATAATTGAGGATGAGCCGAATGGTCGGTAAATGGCGCGGCGTTCCCGGTAGTTTCGGTTTCGAGCAGAGCTGTGTTTTGGTCGGTCGTAGTCTGGTCACCTCTGTTGTGACCTCGCGGGGCAACCGGGTGAAGTTTGCAGCGTTAGTGGAGTACCGACGGAGCAGGTGTCGCCATGTTCTCTCTTTTACCAAGAACCGGGGCGGCGGGGGCGGTCGTGGCCTGCCAGCAGGCCCGTGGAATGGCTACCCTGAAGGACATCCGACTTCGTCTGAAGTCCGTCAAGAACATTCAGAAGATCACTCAGTCCATGAAAATGGTGTCCGCAGCCAAGTATGCCCGGGCTGAGAGGGAATTAAAACAGGCCCGTCCCTTCGGCGAGGCTGCAATGAAGTTCTACGAAGCCGTAGAAGTCGCTCCGCCGGAGAATCCGAAAAATACCCTCCTGGTTGCCATCTCATCTGACCGAGGTCTCTGCGGAGCTGTCCATTCTTCAGTTGCCAAGAAGATCCGCGCTTGGATGGTTGAAAATCCTACCCTGGCTCCCAACGCCAAAATCATCTGCGTCGGAGATAAGGTTAGTTTGATCTTCCCACTTGAGGGGGGAATTTCATTGCGGGCTCAAGAATGGGGAAAGATGGTCCTGCGAATGTCAAGTTTCCGCAGAGCCCGGCTTTCGCGACTTCCAACCAGTCAGAGTAGTTTTGGTGTCGAACGAAGCCAGGAGAAAGATGTCAGGAGCGAGGAGACATCCGGGACGGAAGATCACAGAAGCGGGTCCGAGGTGAATTCTCTCTCTTCGGCAGGTCAAGGCTATCCTGCAGCGTCTGTACGCTCCGAATATGCTCGTATCCTTCAACGACTTCGGGAAGAAACCTCCGCTCTTCGAAGACGCATCAGCTGTTGCGAACTCCATTCTCGAGAGTGGGTTCGAGTTTGACACCGGAGTCCTCATCTACAACAAATTCAAGACCGTGATTTCCTACGAAACGACAGAAATCCCCCTCCACACATTGGAAACGATCCTAGGCGCTCAGAAGATCCACACGTATGACTCGCTCGATGCCGAGGTGAGTCGACTCCGCAGCTCCTACATCGGTGTCGAAGTAGAAAATGTGATCCTGAAAATGCCTTGGATTCATTCTTCCCCGTCCTCCTCCTGTTGATGCACCATCTCTTAAAATTGCAGACTCTGCGCAGTTATCACGAGTTCAACCTGGCCTCAACCATCTACTACGCCATGAAGGAGAACGCTTGCTCCGAACAGTCCGCAAGAATGTCAGCTATGGACGGCGCGTCGAAGAACGCTGGCGAAATGATTGACAAACTCACGCTGACTTTCAACCGAACTCGGCAAGCTGTCATCACGAAGGAGCTCATTGAGATCATTTCTGGAGCTGCCGCTTTGTAAACCTGCGGCCACCGTCGTCATAGTCAAGGAAACCTTGCTCGGCTTCCGGTCCCCGGCAGGTGGATTCCACCACTGCCGCACCTCGCCGGATTCGGTCGTCGTCGTCTCTTTTCGAATGTATGATGGAAGATGTACTGAATAGAGCGGAGTTATAAGAATTATCCCGAGTCTATTACTATCCATCTTCAGGCTTCGCTCGGAGAATACTCGGCTGGATCTATAGCTGCCGATTCCGAGCGTCTCGTGGCCTAACCGAAATTCATTCATCTCGGCATCTTATTCAGCGGCACGGGCAAACAAGACCATGTATCCCGTCTCTTTTCCTTCTTTTTATTCACAGATCCGGGGAAGGATTCACTTGAACAATCTGAATCCTTCCAAATCGCTCTTGGACAGCTGACTCGCCGCGTCCCCTTTCGCGGCCGTCTTCCTTCCGAAAATGCTCGAAAACAGCTCGTCCCTGGAAGAACAGATCCAAGTTATTGCGAAGTGATATTCGAAACAGACACAGAACGCGTTCCGTAAGATTTTTGTGGAAATCCCTCGGCCCAGGACCTCCTGATAGAAATCGAACTCACTTCGCTTGGTCGCTGAATGTCGAGCCGTCGTGCGGGGTCATGAAGCTCACCAACTTCGGGATGACATCGTATCTGATTCTCCTCCCCTTACTCGCTTTCGTATCGATCTTACGTTTGATCTTCGTTCGCAGCTTCTGAATTTCGATCCAGTGTCTCGAAACCTCCAGAGGGTCGGAGATGTCTTGAGTCTTGCGTTCGATGACCTCGCGTAAGAGGTGATGATAGAAATCGTCGTCGTCAAATATCTCCGGGATGATCTGTTTCACTTGATCTGCTTCCTGGATAGTAAAGAAACGACCCGTTTCTGACATGCCATCTCGATCAGGAGACAGATGCTGAATCATGTCCTGAATCGAGGTTCTTGATGGACCCACTCCACACAATCAGAAGTCATCGGAGGGAGAACGTGGTACCCACCCTTTTCTCTGGCTCACTGACGCCGATGATTTTATAGTGACTCCGTTTGATCCGCGTTCTCTCTATGAGGCGGTCCCGGTCTTCCAGGATATGTTCGATTTGCTTCGCTGGAGGCTGCTCAAGGGCCGTGTACCCTTTAGAGGTTCTCCCGCTGGCGAGCTTCGTCCGTTGGTACCACTTGTCGATTGTGGCTTGCCTGCAAGCGGAGACCGGTACTACTACCAAGAGAACTTTTCCAACGGTGAAGATCCGAGATTCAAAATAATTGTCTAGGAACTTCAATTGAATACTGAGCGTCGCCGGACGTCCAGTCATTTGCTTATTGCTCATATACGACTTGGGGAGGGTCGCTCCGTTGCAGCTCGCTCTGGGCTGAGATTTTACCTGAAGGGCAGGAATTTCTGATAGAAATCCTCGTTGGCTCGATCGTATTCATTGGGGAGGAATTTCTTTCTCTTCCTGTCCGTGTCGCCCGTATTGTGGTTCTGGGATCCCTGATCTTCCTCGGAGGATCCTTCATCGACTCTAGGATTTTTACGCTTTGGTTGTCCGTCCTCGTCCTCGCTGTAGCCAGACGCAATGTCGGATGGGATCTCTTCGTCATCGCTCGGAATCTCTTCGTCACCCGAACCGGCAGGAGTTTTCCCGTCTATTGATTTCTTCATTTCGGGATACTTGCGAATCAGGTCAGCTCTTATGACTGCCAGCTGTTCGAAGGCTCTTTCGATGTTGCGAACGCACTGTCTGTATAGACGAGCGTTATCTGGACTGGCCAGGAAATTATGCATGGTTTGTTTGAAAATATCACAGGGTGGCAGCTGATTGGCGAGGGCAAGAACTTTCTGGAATTGAATTCGATACTCGAGCAGCTTGTCCCAGATTTTCATTTGGTGCGAGATGCTCTGTCCCTTGCGGATTTCCTCGCTGACTGCATTCGTTGGCTCCTTATTGTCGACCGGATCCTCCAGCCGAGTGAGCCGAGCATTTGGGTTGGCGAAGGCAGAGATGTCCACGTCGGCCATGGCGTCATCGTCGTCTCGGTCATCGTCGTCGTCATCATCATCTTCGTGGTCCAGATCTTCATCTACGTCATCGTTATCGTCGAGGACTTCTTCGTCGAACGATTCACCTTCCACCACTTCTTGTTCAGATTCCGAAGCCTGAGCGATTCCCTCGTCGGTCCCGTCGCCAACTGCAAAGATTTCTCAATGAAACGCACCTATCTGACTAAAGAAGATGGAAAGATGTGGTAGTACGGGAATCGAGATGTGCATATCGAATAGACGTGGTCCTCACGTGCCTCTGCTTTCCTGATCGGTCTCCACACTTTCGTCGTCATCATCATCGTCTTCGTCGTCGATGACCTCATAGAGATTTGGGTTCAGCTTTAGGAAATGTTCGTCATCTTCCTCATCGAACATCTCTCGCCTCGATACTGTCTTGCCCTTGTATCTACCAGTGGTGAGGATTTCGGCACCTCTTTTCTTCTCAACAGCTTCGTATGAATCTTCATAGTCCGCAAGTTTGGCGTTACTCTCTGAGGAAAGGATCAGAGTGAAGCACGGAATCCATGGGAAATATGAGAGGGTCTGAGTGTCGCGGGGGACCATGTTCGAAATTTCGCTTCACATACCGTCGTTGAATACGTCCTCCGAATCTTTTTCTTTGGGCGCTGTCAACGCGAGCTCTTTGAGCTCGTCCGCAAACGACGGCATCTTGCTGCTCCTCTGAGCCCAGAGACGACTCACGGATTGATATCTCCACTCCCAATTATTGTCCACGCAGCTACCCGGTAAGAATTCCACGAGCACATGTGCCCGTGTTGTTATGTCTCCACTCACTCTCTGTCTGGGACACGGGTGTAAGCTCTTCCGAGTTTTTACTAATCCGCGGATAAATGTCCAGCTTCCGATGAGCTGCGCGAAAAGTTCATCATCTTCGGGATCCGGGAACGAATTCTTCCAGAGAATCCTCCGAAAATTCTGGCGAGAAGCCTTCTCGCGAATGACGGGGTCAGGAAATGAGGAGTCTCTCGCTAAATTCGCGGCCGCCGCCGTCGAGGTCCGGTATCGCGGATCTCAAATTTGGCGCCAAGCTCCGCCGATCAGACAGCGCTAACATATGAGCGTAGGACAGCCGTGCGCGCCAAAAACTATCACTCATCTGTTACCGAAGTTTAGCTTTGACGTTTCTCAGCAATGCCTCCAATCGCGGTGGAGGACGGCGCTGCGCCGTCTGTGAAGGAAGAAAAAGAGAAGAAACCAGCGAAACATGAACCCTCCGTCTTCGGAGGTTCCTGGTGAGTTACGAATTCTTTTCTCCAAGCCTCGCCGATTTTCCTACAGTGGCCTGTCTGGCCTCTCATGTGAAGTCGGACCGGAATGCTTTCCGAGGTGTCGGAGGGTGCTCCGCGGCGGTCGTTCAAGGTTTCCAACCGTCTCTCCGCGGACTGTCGTAGGGCTTGGGACCTAAGCGGGATATGGTTTCAATATCCCGAACATTTGTTCCAGTTTCGCTGATGAACTGAAGGTCTACTACGAGAAACTCTTCCCTGTGAATATTTTCTACAAGTGGCTGTCTTATGGTAGAGGTGAGGAGATGAACGAGAGAGTTCTCCCGGGGGTTCGACGCCCTAAAATCTTCCTCTAAGTCTTCCATTCTTTTCAGATCCAAGCGAGAGCTACTTCGTGAACAGAGAGTTCTCTTTCACCCTAGAAGGAGACCTGTACCTGCGATTCCTGTCGTTCAAAGACCAAAAAATGTTGAAGGCCGAACTTGTGAAGAACAACCCAATCAAGATTGATCTGGGTGCAGTTTACGACAACATCGTACGTAGCTTCGACATAGAGCATCCCTATTCCCAATGGAGGAATCTCTCTTCGAGAGTTACAATTTCGCTGTCCCTCAGTCAGATAAGCAGAACAGGAAGCCCCGCGAGAGAGAGTATGTCTTGGATATTGACATGACAGATTTCGACGATGTCCGTATTTGCTGCAAGGATGCCGATATCTGTCCGAGATGTTGGCCTTTCATGACGATAGCGATCCGATGTCTTCATGCAGCCCTGACCGGTGAGCAATCCTCTCAACTTCAGCCAATCGCGATTCTCTGACACCGAATCGAGGAGCGTAAGCTCGGCCGAATTCTGAAGCAGACTCTGCTCTCTCACCTCTGCAGAGGATTTTGGATTCCGCCACTTGCTCTGGGTGTATTCCGGTCGTAGAGGGATACATTGTTGGGTGGCCGATAGGATTTCCCGGGAAATGACTTCATCGTGCCGAAACGGGCTCACATCTTACCTCGATGTGCTCACCGAGCCCAATCCGAAGCGGCCGAAGATTGTTTCGAAGATCCATCCTTTCATGGAGAGAACACTGGTCATACTACGAGAGTACGTGGATGATATGGTAGTCTCAAAACAACGGTGGGCGGATAGCACTGAGTGGTGGGTGAAGGTGAGGGCAGTTCCTCATAGAATCTCTATTGTGGCCGACTGCACTTGAGTTCGCTCGGAATCATGAACCGGATTCCCTGGGATCCTAGAATATCCCATTTCTTTCACGGGCTGATCCAAGATGCGTTCAAGGCGAAAACCAAAGCTCAATATCCCTCCAACAGATACTTCGCATGTACATGGACACCGAGAAAAGGGATGAGCTTGAGAGCCGAATCATGGCGGAGGAAGATGGCGCCACTCGATGGGAAATCTTTAAGACTGTAGTCGACCAGCAACAAAGCAAGAAGCACAGATTCTACTTCGAGGAAGTGAGTCAATTTTGTCCAATCATTCACGCTGTCCGTCTACCGACGCGCGACGGCCATGAACTTCTGAATGAAACAAAGTTGGAGCGGGAATAGGTCTGCCCAGACGATGGATGAGTTGGTTCTGAAATTCACGAGTGTCCCCGATCGCGATAACAGGTACTCTTTCACTTGCTCTACCCGCGTCTGGATGTCAACGTCTCAACTGGACTCAACCATCTCCTGAAAGCCCCCTTCTGTCTGCACCCGAAAACCAACCGAGTGTGTGTTCCTATCGACGTGGAACGCCTCGAGGATTTCGATCCGTTTAAAGTTCCAACCGGGAGGTAAGCGATAATTCATGCTTTATTTCGAAGGATATCTCAGGTCCTATCTTCGAATGCGGCCTAGCGTAAAGGAGTAGTGGAGTTTCGAATGAGCGGACCGGAACAGAATGTCATCGTCTGCCAAACGATTCGGTCGATTTTCATGCTGGGTTCGATGTCCACAGCTCATTGATGGCAGAGCTCGAAAATTACTCAAAAGACGACGACACACCTGATTGCAAAAAAACCTCGCTGAGGCCTTATGTGGAGCTATTTGGGAGATTCGTGAAGCGATTGCTCGAGAAAGCCCCCAAACGTCCAGGTATGTCATTCTCGTGGGTTGGGCTCACTTCTGAGTAGATAAATCCTAACTTGGACGGTTCCCGAATTTCGAACCCTAATCTTTGATTCCCCATTCCAGACGATGTCGATTTGGAATTTTAAAGCCAACAAGAGTTCCACCATTGAGAGAGCCTCTCTTCATATCGTTCGAGTCCACTCACCTAGTAAATAAATGAAGTCTCAAGAACCTACAATGGTCCTTCAATCGACAGCAGAGCCTCTCAGGAATACACTCTCACCGCCAAAACAGAGAAGTGAGCGAAGTTGAAAATTCCGAAGCTAGCCACGATACTGTGCCTTGTGAGTCCGTCGTATCTTTCTACCCGATCGATGTCTCTCGTAGCAGTCTGCGGGTATTGTGAAGTTCCAGAGCGTCGGCCATTCTGGAATTTTCCAAATCCACCGCTATATTTTCTCAGCACATGTCGCATTCGAACTCATTCGTCTCGGTGCCGAACCTCATCGTTGGCTGTTGATATCGTCTCGGTCGAGGCGTGGAGTCTTTCCATGACGACCGATTCACAAATTGACAGAACCACGAAGCCCATGCATGCGACGACATATATGTCGCAAAACTGCAACAAAAGAAACCATTGATATACGCTTTCCGGTGGGCGATTTTCTGACCATTACTCGGACTTCCTCCTTGGGTATAGTGATGAAACTTCAATATGCGCAACATTTCTGGTCGCGGTCAGGGTTTTAGAGCCTCACGGTCATGTACGAGACACTCGGGATGGCGCTTCTTATAGCTCCCAGCTGAGTATACAGAGCGAGGAGTACGGTGGTACTCAGCGCGAGTCTTTCGTTCGACGCGTCGAGAGATATCCACATCGACGCAAATCCAACGAGGACTAAGAAAAATGAGGGCAAGAAGCATTTGATCAGTTGGTAGGTCAGCAGGCGTCGGAATCGAACCAAGACTTTCACCCCGTCCATAATTCCTGCAAATCGAATTTTGTTTGCAAACTTTGCACGTGTCACAATCGAAGCCCGATATGGGAGCTCCTGATGCTTCCTATGCGGGATGCTTTTCGGGGAGTGCGAAATGAAAGCTCAGGGAGTGCGAAGATCCTTGGCATCGACTTTTCTCATCTTCGGTGACGTAGCTCTCGCCCTGCTGATAAGCCTCAAGAGAAACTTCGTATTCGAGCATCTTTTGTCGGGGGTTCAGCGCCGCCGATCCAGATCCCCGGTCGTTCGTGGGTGCGTCGAGCCATTTGACATGGAGCGATGAATTCGGGTAGATCCCTGAATAGAATGGGATGGACGAATCGCTCCGACTACGATATGGGGTTCTAGATACGTATCGGAGAGGAGGAGAGTCCGTCGGGTAATCCTCACAAGCATGTATGTTTATCGGGCAAATCTGGACGTCCACGGGGAAGTCGTGCAGATCCATGGGGCACGATATCGTCGACGAGAGCCAAAAGAGAAACAATCATTACGAGCAGCTCTCATTGTCCGTGGGAATTCGAAGCTCGATGGTTCGGCCGCACACTTACTTCATATTGATTGAACCGTAGCAGGTCTTGTTCCCCACGCGATGGGAGAAACTCACCGCTGGGTGGATGACGGTCGGGGTTCTGTCTTCGATAGCTTCCTATGCATGCGATATCAGGGACTTTAGAATTTTCGTCGAGTCATTCAAGAATTCCGGGGACACCGGAGGTTCGTCGGCCCAAGAAAATCATAGGCCAAAACTCACTTCGAGGTAGAGATCCGGTACGAATATTCCATCCGGCAGCCCGGTCGGCGAGAACTTGTCCTTCCGCGACGGAAATCTGCCCGAACGCTGGAACTCGAAGGCTATGTCCGCACAAACGTATTGATGATGTATTTCCCAGGTCTCCACGAGGAAAACTTCGACGTCGAAGGTCTTCAGATTTCGGGAAATAACTATGCTAGTTCTGATGCAAGCATGCAACTTTTGTCGTTATTTGAATGTTTGCACATAGCGAAAATGTCGATCGGGTGGGGGGAGACCCGAGCTAAATTCCGAAGCTCCAAAGAATATTCACCATTCGCTTGAGGTTGAGCTCGCTGATATGATTGACGAACAAAGTGAGATTTATCCGGAAACTTGGGGTGACGTTAGCAACTGTTGAAAAAAAGCTCCATTAATCGATGGTAGGTACCATCTATCTTCCCCCGATCTCTCCAGAAAACGATAGAATCAGAGGCTATAGGTGTTAGGAAAGGGTCGAGAGGGGCAGGAAGAGTTCAGACAAACCTTGATGTATCTCCATCATGTTCCGAGGCATTCGGGGACCTCTGAAAAATTTCGGAATTTTCATGTCGAACAGGCTTTGCCATCGAATCGAAATCGCAGAAAGTTCACCCACGGGAAAGGAAGCTCTTCATAATCTCCGAATCGGCAGTGAGCGTTTCCTGAGAGGGACAGCACCAGCAACAGAAAATACCAGAAGATTGAGGGCGCTGGAATCAGGGCGTCGACAGTCATGTCTCGGAGATCAGATGAGTCAGGGATGGGCGATTAGAGTCCGATCCGGGACGGGGTGACCTATCGACTGAGCTTTGCCGCCTCTCATCTCGCGAGTTCGGAAGCAGAATCGCCGGTAATTAGCGCAATCATTTCCTGAAATCGGCTGCTTAGTCATCGGGCACTCTACGAGCCGGTGCTCGGACAGCCCGTGTTGGCTCGCGATCGATCAAAAATCGACACCGATGAGGCAATCACCCATGGTTCACTCTGATTTTTTTTTCGGAGCCGAGTGTTTCTTCGAACGAGTATGCCCTTCTGTATGCGTCAGAGAGTTTTATTCAACATCACTATAAGACACCGTTTCAATCAAACATGACTTGTTTTCTAGCAGCATTGAGCAGCTTGTTGTCGAGCTTGAATATTTTCGGTCCCCCTTTCATGGGGAACTGGGTTTTCAAAGGGTGCGGATGTTCGCATATGAAGACGTACGGATCGGATATCTCTCCATGGGGGAACGTCTCACGGTATTTCGATTGTGGTATGCAATCCATGACGTCGACACAGCCGAGAAGAACGCCAGTCGGAAATTCCATTGAAGCGGGCAATTCAACTGGACTGATGAGCTTGTAAGCTCGAATGACGCTTTCCTGCTCCTCGCGAGTCGGCTGTTTCGAAGCTGCGTGGATCCAGAGTCGGCCTCGATGGGCATGGAACCAATGACGACCTTCATGCTTCTTGATGCCGGCGATCAGTAGACTCGCATACGGTTGATGAATTGAAAGACACCATCCTGTAAAAAAGAGAATTCCCGTTACACCGAGTGAGAGAATAATGGAACAAGTGCGACCCAGAATGTACGAAGCGGAAGCGGTTTCACAAGACCGATGGACTAACCGTCGTCAGAAATTTCCTTCAGGTGGCTGTCCTGTATCCGAGAGAGGTTCATTTCATCGCTCTTCGCCGTATTCGTTAAAATAATTCCCGTTTCCACGAACTCTAGGTCCACCAAGGTCTTCTTGCTCAGATACGATGGTGACTCCTCATAGGCGGTTTCGATTGCGCCTAATGTCGACGAAGAATAAAGCTCTGGGAGCTCCTCAAGCTTCTCAGTGACCTGTGAGACGAGATAAGCCTCCGATGGTGAGAGAACGCGGTCATGTTCGTGAATATCCTTCGGATCCCGAGATAACTCGGTTTGTTCCCGGAAGAAAACATGTAGCACCTTTTTCCTTCGAAATCGATGTCTATCTTCGTAACCCGGCTGCGTCTGCTGGTGTCGCGTTTCTCTTCGGATTCCCGCAGAGCCTTCCGCTCTTTCTGAGTTAACCATTTGTTTTCAGAAGAGAAGTAATCCCTGTCGTCGTCGATGATCTGAGTTCGCTTGGCGCAGGTCCGATCGAACTCGATGAGGCTGGAATGCAAGGCGAGAATGAGCTCCTCCATCTCAAGGAGCAGAGATATCATCCGAACTTTGCAATTTGCAACTGCCCCTGAAGCGCAGGCTTAAGCAACAAACCGGTCTTTATGAGCCACTGCCTTCGCGAGAGCTGCGTCTTGTTCTTCGATCTTCTGGCGAAGCTGATTGGCTTTTCGGGAATCTTTCACCAACATTTCCATCTCACGAGGGGTAGCAACAAGCTCTCCACATGTCAAACACGACCCGGAACCTTCCTGTTGGCACACTATCCTCCCACATGAGATGCAGTTGTTGATGAGTTGGTGTCTGTGAAAAGGAGCATCGGAAACTTATGAGCTCTTCACCACTATCTCCGTTAGCAGAAGAAACGTGAGAAAGCGGATCTCCAAACCGAAGTCTCGACTCCCCGAAGTACATGTCTCCCTCATAACTTCGATGAATGGCGAGGGAAATCCGGGTAGCTGTCGCACCCAATGGGGATAACTTTCGTGGACATGCCATGATAATCCACAGTATAATTCGTTCATTTCCGTACAGAACACTTCTAATTTTTCAGCGTCGCTTCGACGTCTTGCGACATGTTCCGGCAGAAACTCACCTCGAAGCCAGACAATTGCACGGGTGTCGTCCACTGAGTAAAATCGTCTCTCGATCTTTACCTTCATCCGAATAAAGATTCACGAATTTCTTGATCGTTTTTTCTGACGGACACTCGCGAGTTCTTTGATAGGACCGTCGTCTTTGGGAGATCCTTTTTTTTTAATGACTCTGATTTTCACATTCTCTTGTGCCTCCATGCTTCCCAGGAAGCCAATGTCGCAGAATTTCGTCGGGGACGAAGATGGAAAAGCCCACACGAGAGCTCGCAGGAGATCGGATTCTAGCCAGAGAGAACCTCCGGTCCCGAGACGATATGAGCGAATGCGTGTCCAGATTTCGAGCATGAACAGCTGATTGAGCGGTTCGAAAAGCTGGATGAATGCATTCGCCGCATCCAAAACAAAGTCCAGCTGCCTCACCTATCTGAGTGAAAGATCGGGGGCGCTCAACGGAGGAGGAATGAAGTTCGCGAAACGGTGATCGGATTTAAACGAGGTGTGGCGAGCCGACTCGACAGAGCTGCTCACCGGAGTGACATCGAGAGCGTAGTTCCCGTGCCCACGTTGCTGTCAGGACAGTCGACATGGAAGCGATCAGCTGTGGAACAGAGCCAGTGGACTCGACATCGACGAGCAGTTTATGTTTATCCGAAGAGGCGATACGTTTCGATCCAGCCTCGGCCGTGTCGAGAGTGTTCTTCGACAATGCCAACGAGCAATTGTTCTCGATCAGATCCGGTGGGGTCACAGGAGTTGTCGTCAAAGGACCGAACGAAGACAGGAGCTGCTCCTTCACCATGGATGACAAAGGTGAAATTCTCTCCGTGAAATTGTGTCCGGATCAGAGTGTGATGGCAATCCAGAGATCTCGGAAGAGCGTCGAGTTCATGAACAGTCCACAGTTTCCCGAATGGAACCGAGGCGAGTACAGTCAGGCCTGCAAAGCGAAGTCGGCGAGCATAATTGGTTTCGCATGGACGGGCTTCGGAACCGATATCATCTTCGTCACCGATCAGAGCGTGGAATTCTACGAAGTCCAACCGGCGCGGAAATGCCTCCGATACATCAAACTCTACTCGATGCAAGTTAATTGGTTCATCTACCAGCCGATCACGAATTATCTGTTGGTTTCCTCCGGGATTCTCGGTAATGTGCTCCATCCTATATACTTTTCGGGACAAGGAATGTGCACCCGTCATTCGAAATTCGAAGTGGACCTCCCCGTGGTTCCCAAACCCCCGAAACTCTGTCTTCTCGATAGAGATGTCAGCTTGTGTAGAATATATGGGAAGTCAAGGGTCGTCGTTCTGCGTCACAAGGGGAACACGTCGAGTTCTCGAAGCGGTGCCGCGGAAATCGTTGTCTACACCATCGATGGTGCCACGCCGCCTCGGAAAACCAACATCCTGAAACTCGAAGTCTCTGGTCGTTTCGCTATAAATCTCATTGATAACTTGATCATCGTCCACCACCAGAGCTCGAAAACCAGTCAAATCTTCGATATAGGCCTCGAAGGCCACCAGGAGACGAATATCGTTTACCATTCACCGATCGTCGCCCCTGAGGTCATCGGATGCAAGGGCGATTTCGAGCTGTACTCCGCCAACTGGGTCGTCTTCCAACCGAATATCATCATCGACGCGAAAATCGGTCTCCTATGGCGCTTGACACTCAATCCAGAGCGCCTAAGTCATCTGATAAGGCCTGCGGAGAGGCTCATCGATTTTCTGTTGTTGCGGAAGAATTGTCAGAAAATTATCCTTCAGAGCATGAAGCGCATTGTTGCCGAGGAGACTCCGCTAAAAACGATCGCCACAATCATGGGAAAAATCGCTCATATCGAACGTATCTCTGAAAAACTGGTATCGGAAGTGTTCGAACCGCTGAGCGACGAAGTCGACAAGTCCTATCTTTTTGGGGTATTCGTTGAGCACATCCGGACCAAAGACACAATCTGTGATAATCTCCGAGACGCAATGGTCGCGAACTTGGTGGATCAGAACAAATTCTACCAACTTCACCAGTTCCTGCAGTACCACATCCTGGGCGATTCAAAACCCATCGCGTGTCAACTTCTGGACCTTGCACCGCGGTACACACCCGCTCAGCAGCTAGCTCTGGACATGCTGTACCGTTTAGGGTCGACTCACGAGGAAACCATCGAGACCCTATTGAACAATGGCAAAGTCATCTCAGCTTTAAAAGTAGTACAAGCCCAAGGAAATCAGGATACGGTATCCGCGCGGAAATTCCTCGAGGCTGCGAAACAAACCAACGATCCATCCATATTCTATTCGGTCTATAGATTCTTCGTACAACGAAACATCACTTTGAGGAACAGCGCGCTGTTCCCGAAGGGCGAAATGTGCCAACAGTACGTAGCTCACTACAAAACCCTTTTTGGTGACTGTCTTGAAATGTTGGCGGCAGAACGCAATGAGGTGTAATCTGTTTCAAGTAAAAGCGATCTTTGATAAGTTGTCTCGAATCGATTCGATTCCCGTCCATCCGAGAAGAGGCGTTTGTCATCAGGAGACTGCTTAGAGATCTAATGAAGTTTGGTACTTCGGAAAGCGTGCGACCCTTCACTGTTTACCGCCGAAGGAGTCGGTGTAGTGATCCCATAATCTCAGTCAGGGTCCTCGATGGAAAAAATATTTTTTCCTGAACATATTAGGGTATATTCAGTATTTCGAATTTCTCAGCGCTCATATCATACACCTAGATGACGAGCTTCCTCAACGACATTCTAACATGCCGCTGCGTGGGAGTTCAACATATATACAGGATCCGCCGCGAGAATCCACCCGACTTCTGCGCCTCGTCAGTCGCCGATCTTTCCTTATCCGAGTTCGACGAAGATAGACGGAGGGACTTCACCAAGAGTCTTTCCGGCCATTACTCTTCCTGTTTTTCTTGGTTTTGTGCTTGGTTTTTCTCTGTTGCTTCTTCCCCATCCAGACAGGATATTGGCCGTTCTCGTCCTGCATACGTTTGTTGAACACCTGCGTGGAGAGAAGGAATACTTGAGAGCTTGCGCCATCGGGCTCGAGTTTGGCGAGGGCGGTTTGGATTCAACGTCGGGATGTCCCAGCCAGCGAAGCGGAGCGTCGAAGTTCGCCGTGCAACATGTATGATACAAGTCGGTATCCGCAGCTGGCTTCTCTCGGTTCTTCGGACATTGGATAGTATTAGGAAGAAGCGTTGATTAATTATTGGACAATTTTCAATCCACCTTTGCTTCGCCCTCTTCCATGTTTTCCTCTTGTCTTTTGAGCAAGGCTTGCTTCTTCTTCTCAAGGTAGTCGACTAGCACTCCGCCAGCTTGCTCAATGTCCATTCCCTCTTCTACGACACGAGTGACACCTTTTTTCACTGTTTCCTGCGCGAGAGATGAATCATTTTAGGGACCTTTCACAACGAGAAAGTTCCGGGGCGTCTCGAGACTCGGCTCGCTTGAGTCCGAAGCATTGTTCGATAAGATTCTCGCTTCCTCGCATAGACTCGACAGCGTTCGACTTACTCTGAGTTTTTTCACGGCCTTGTCGTCATACCGGATCCGTTTGATAGCTCGCATTTTCTTGCCACGCTTACTACGGATGCTTTTGGCCATGGTGAATAATTTCCGAGCGCCGAACTGCCACGGGAGAACTTCGCGATCGAACTGTTGAGGAACGATTCCCTCTGCTCAAGGAACGCACGTGTCTGTGTTTAGGGATATCAACTCCGCACCACCAATCGTTCCGGAGTGGCAACAATACACCGTCAGCTGATACCCTCGCCAGAGAGCAGCTGACGGGCGCGAAATTCAAACTTTCGGATTTTTCTGAACTATTTCCCTGGCTCCGTGGTCGGAGTTTTTCCTATTTTGACTGCTGGAATCCATCGATCGCGATAGGAGAGGCGTTCGGCTCGTCAACGAGCGAGATTATGCTTATCGTACGCTCTGTCTGTCGCCGAGAGACGTACGTACTCCAGAAATTCGTGCTGTGCATTGGTACGACATCAATCATGATGTCAATTAAGGGTATTCCCGATCCCGGCCCATGGAGAGGATTCTGCTCCCCGAAAATCCCAAGTCTTCTGCTTCCTAAGAATTGATGGTGTTTCATTCCTACGTCAACGCTAAATATTGGGTATTTCGTTATGTTATGTTGTATGTTGCATTCTTGAGTCTAGCCCTCCCACCAGGCCGGCCGGCGCCAGCTGCTCATGGTGCCGAGCACCGACGCGGCGTTTCCGCGTGTGACATCGAGCGACAATCTCTGGGCGAAGAATCGGCCCAGTCGCTTGTCCCCGGCAGCCCTCTCCAGAGCCTCATCGGCCTGGGTAATCAGAGCCACGGTCAGGGGACCGGGCCCTTCCATTGTTTCGAATGCAAGCGGACTGAAATGGTATCCGGGTGGCAGCTCAGCGTATTTCCGGCTCTTCGCAGCTTCTATAGTCTTCTGCGCATATTTCTCTCTCACGGCTTCGCGCTTCGATCCCTTGTCCATCCCCACCTGCCAGAGCGTACTGCGTGAAGCAGGTGTATTGACGCGCCGCGCAGCTCCATCTGTTAGCAGAAACCCGCGCAGTCAAGCAGCCAGTCCCCCACGATATTCCAGTGTTCCGGCAAGACTCGAGTAAGTACGGCGCCGGATTTCGAGGGGACGTCCGCATTACTCGTGCTCTTCTCAGGGACGAGTGGGTCCTGAGACCAGTCGTCTCACGCGAGAAAATCGTCATCGGCGGCCGGATACTGGTCTCACACTACGATACGGGGCATGTTGCGGTACGGTATAATGAGCTCGGAATAGTTTCACGCATCAATCATTCTGTGGAACGAAGATTCCATAGGGATACAAGTTCTTAGTTTATTGTCGATTTGCGAACGACTGCTTAGAACAACCTAGGTTAGCCTGATTTTTTTTCACACAGCTGTGGTCATCTACATCGGATTTCTGGTACTCCTCCGGTTTTTCTGCTTGGTATGCCTCTCCCGAACAGGAAATCTATGTTAATACTTTTAGTCTTATCGATTGCACACATTAGATCGAGTTTTCTGACACCTTATCAACACACATTTTTGCAAGAACACACAAGATACAGTGTCTGACATTCTCTCGGTAACGATCAGTTACGTCTCCAGGGATGACTGAGCACGAAGGAGCGCGGAGTCTCCCTCCGGCCCCTGAAATTTCACAGCCGCGCTGGAACCCAGCCTTCCCAGGCTCAGGAGGTCCCGTGGGACACAGCTTGTAGAGGGAATTTCGCCTCGAGTGCCTCCAGAGACGCGACTGCGATCGGCTGGATTCACAAAGCACCGCGGCAAGATCCCAGGACTTCTCTTTTCAAGATACCAAAACAAAAAGTCCGAATACCGGCCACTCGTATACGAACGAGACTTTGCATGAACGTTGCAACTGACAAGCAGGTCGATAATCACACCGCTCTGATTAAAATGTCTGTCTCGGAGTTTATATGGAAGCGCTCTGTGGAAATATGAAGATAAACGTGATCTCTGAGAAAGGCGTCGAATATGATGGAAAATGATGAACAAAAATAAACTCTCTCTCTGCCCTCACGGTAGCCTCGTGACGCCGACTCGAGGTTTCTCTCCCCGAGGAGGCGGCGAGTTCACCATTCCGAAGATAAGCTCACAACATAATTAACAATCTCCATCCGCACAAGTATGGAATGTGCTTCTCTTCGTTTGCTTGTCTCCGATCGGTAGATCTCCGTCGGACAACTATTCGTACGGAGGCCACTTCTCTTCAAGAAGCTCGCGCATGTGTTCATACACGACGAGCATAACAGCGCCGCCTGGTCCCAACCTTAGAACTTTCGGTACTAAGCCTTTGTACAGCGCACGGAAGCCCTCTTCTCGATAAACGACGCCCACACTCTGCAGACATCCTTTGTACTTCGAATTCGGTAAGTGTCCCTCGCTCTGAATTCGACTTTTCGCTACGTCGAATGGAATGTTGAAACACGATGCCAGAGTACCCGCCGTGAAACCGGTGAGTATTCTCAAGGCCAGAGTGGCGGCATCGCTGTCCATTTTCGGTAGACGATCCCTCACCGAAAAGTAGAAACCGAAATAGACCATGTTGAAAGCCCCGTTCCGTATCATGGTTGACGTGAGACCGAAATTCAAACCGCGCAAGCCGAGACCTCCTTCGCGATAGATCGATCGAGCCACTTGGAACGTCGTCGGTTGTTCAGACACCTTATTCTTGTCCGTCTGCAACCGAACTTTCACAACTTCGAAGGGATTGACGAATACGGCTTCTGTGAGACCGGCGAACAGACCGGCCATCGACAACGATACTGGCGTGTCTTTCACATCGTAGCGGAACAACTTTTTGTACTGTTCGAAAGTGAAGAACTTCACGGCTCGTTTCGGGGTTTCCGCGAGGATCGGAGGTAGGATTCCTGAGGAGGGAAGTTGAAGAATCTTCTGAGGAATTCGGCATTCGGGCATCTTGTTCTGTCTTTTTCTTTTGTTTCCTTTCGTTCCATCTACCATATTTTGATCGCTTGCGACACGAACCTTTATATATGGAGAAAAATCCCTCGGAGCGGATCATTCTCCGGAAACAGTCGGCGATACTTTTGTATCTTTCGGGATCAGCGGCATTGCTTTGCACTTGAAATCGAGTTTTGGCAACGTCCAGAGGATGCATCAAACATATCTCCACAAAACCTGCTGATCCTCCGGACATTATTTGAATGGCTGCCTCCCGGCCAGCCCGTTTCAAAGCTGACGGGCCCTCCGACATTTTCCCTGCAAATCCAAGAAAGAGATGTTTGAATTATCGAATCGAAGCTCTGTGGAGTACAGTGGGCTGATCTCGAAGAGAGAATAGCGTCTACTACCGAATGTGTCGCTCGCTCTCGGTTGACCGAACCTAGACGCTTATTGCCTCCATGTATACGCGCGGATGAAAACTCCCTGCCGCACATAAACCGTGCGATTTCGACTAATAGAAGCGGTTCCCGCTTCCCGGTGAGACATAGAGATGTCGCGCAGACCCACGTTCCGTGTGAATGTAGAGCTTTGTGAGATTGTCTCATTATAGTCAGTCAAATACGAGCCGGAAAGCTTCTGACATCCTTCCGCGGCTATTTTTCTGGCTTCTAGCTCATCCCGGGAACCCACGAGCACCACCAGAACTCATCTGAACGTCGATCCAGCAGCTCGCAATCTCCACGACGTCACGCAGATCGAATCTGACTGACAGCACTGTTGACCACTTCAGGCAGGTCGTGCGGCCCCACGCTTTTTGGCTATGATACCTCTCTATCCTGTCGGCCAGAATACGTTGCCTAGCCTGTCGCAGAGGATATAACAAACGACAAGCAGAGGACGGGAGAGGCTTCATTGATAGGGACCCTATGAGCTGCCCAGCGAATAAAATCTATCGGCCTAGTCCGAGTCTCCGGTCCGAACTGAGTTGACTCTAGGTTGAATCTCTATTCGATTCCGGTGGACCTCCGTCGGTGACGGGGAAGTTTTTTGGGAAGCGGCCAGACACTCATTCGGAGGAGGACGATTCACCCACGGTGATATCTGTAGGAATGCCCTAAAATTATCTAGATCACTCCGGCCTCGAGCACCTCGAAGGAGACGAGTGTTAACGAAGGAAAGGAATCATTCTGGCGAGCGAAGAGTCCGACATGGGTGACTGATAGGTTATGTCGAGCTGCTCGACATGCGCGACATAATGAGCTCCTGGCGTCGCTCCCGATAACGGCGCTGACGTTAAAAGATTAAACTATCTTTGGCCACTAAAATAGAGTCCGCTCAGGCGAGGATAAGGGCTTGATTTGATTACGCTCAACGGGCCAGCAACGTGCCCACGTCTCGCTATTCGCTTAACAACATTCTGGGAGCGAACGCGCTCAGCGTATACCTAGTCTTCCCTCGATCGCGAGCAGTCCGCGATCATCCCCTTCGGCGGTGGAGATGTCGTCGGCTCTACATAGCCGCTGCGGACAGTGGTTTAGCAAGCGGAAATTCTCGGCTTCATTCGACAGTTTCCTTTCTCTTTTTTCCGCAGCGTTCCGCGGTCCTGGGGTCGACGAACTTCGATCCTACGTAGCGCCCGGCGTTACGATACGAGACCGAGATTCCAGCCGTCGGACGAGAAGATCGATTCCGGGTGCTGTTCATCGACGAATTTCGCTTGGTTTCGCGCTTCGATGCCTTCGGTCGATGATGGCCCGAGAGCTCGGTAGTCCATCCTCTATCGATTCCATAAGGAAGTTCCGACGTGGCTCTCGCTCAACTACAGCTATCCGATCGCAATCAGCTGTGAGCCAAGAATACGCATCGCGCCGCCGCGGAGGAACGTCGTCGGCCTTCTGACTTCCCAGAAGAGAATCAAGCTGAACGGATGCGGCGATGGAATGGGAATCTCGTAGTGACCGTACGATCCGACGAGCCTTGCTCGGAATGCGTATTGATTTTCCCATGCCTCTACTATTTGTCTGCGCTGAGCTTGCTCAAGAAAGCTCAAGACAGGCCAGAATTTCCGTCGGACTGCGGCAAAGGCATTCAATTTTATGCGATGACGCGGATTCTGGGTCGAATCGACTCGTGACACTGTTGTCAGTCGCTCCTGGAGAGTAGATTCGGGCCTCGATTTGTCTGGCTGAGCTAGGAATGTATTTTAGCTGACCATCATGAGTCGACTCACTCGAACTAACGATGTTGGAACTCGAACTTCGGCCCACACACACAACCGATTGATTTGAGGAAGATCGCTGTGACGTCGAATTTGTCCGAGAAGGAAAGAATTTCACTTCCTTTCGCTCGACATAAAACAGCCACAAAAACCGAGAGAACGCTAAAGGGAGCGCATCGGGAACCGTAATAAGGGGCCGCTGAAGTTGCTCAAGGTCTTCCGCGAATTCTGGTACGAGAGGCAGTCTTTTCGACGGCCCGCTCAGCGCCCCATCACAGGACACCGAAAATGAGGACGAAAAGGTTCGAATGCTTATTGAGGTCAACCGAACGGAAGGCATTCGTATCTTTCACTTCATATCCGCGACCCATGGAGCGAATGTGGTCGAGGAAGCCCTGAGCAAGAGATTGCCAGCTGCTCATATGTGCAAGTCAGTCGACGTCACAATTCCTGCTTCCACGCGGTCGGTCTCAGGCGGAAAGCACTTCCGCGGGAACTGAGCCGGATTGAACAAATTCTCCTGCTGCCGGATATTGGTGGAGCCCGCGAACGAAAAAGCGCGAGCACTGCCCCCGATGAGACCGCTCTGCGAGGCACTCTGACAATCGGAGTGGCGGCGCGAATCTCCGACGGGCTGTCAGAGAGACTCACACAGCGGTGAATCAGGTGAATGTTGCCGGCACTGACCTGTTATGTTCGAAGCTCGGGAGCTCTTCGGAAGCCAAAGCGGACTCAATTTATACAATCGGTGAACGCGAAACTAATACTCTCTACGGAGAGGAAAAAGGCGCTACCACCGTCGGCTTTACATTCCCGCTCAGTGAGAAAAGGTGCGCAGAGCGTAAGAGGCAGAGCGATTCGCGACTGACCTGGTGGCCGATGGAAGTTGACTCCTTAGCAATGGTGCGCCGACGTGAGAAGTTTGGCCGCGCCGTCCTTCCTGCTAATCTCTTTGCTGTGTCCGAACCGCGGAGCTCTGCATTGGAAGCAGCAGTAACCGTGCGGATATCTTCTCCCCTCACGTCACCTGCTCGCTGACTAGCAGCAGCGAACGAACTCTCTAGCCAGGCAGTTAGCCAGTCAACCAGTCGTCAGCCAGACAGCAACCAGCAGCGAGAGCAGCGGAGAGGGATGTTGTCGGCGACGCGACAACAACAACAGCCACTATTTCTCCGCGACGAGCTGCTGCTGTACTTGGCGGCTATCTCCAGTGATCATGGTTGATGATCTCTGCTTGATTCAGAGGAGCCTCCGGGGCTGGTCAGACTATCAATTTGTGAAGGGGAAAAGGAGGAACGAGGTGCAAGCTTCGGTATTCGGGATAAGGAATCGTTTGACTGGCATCATGATTTATCCTGCCTTCGCTTGAAGAATCCGGTAAGGGTCACGAGAGGAGTGTCTCTGCTGTCAGTGATTTTCCTATGCAAGGATTATGTCATGTCGGAGGCTTCAGATTACTGTTCCTTTACAGCGCTGTGACCCTCACTTCAGAGCTCCGTGCTCGACCGGGAGTGCCCCAACCAGATTGACTCGGACGAGAGTCCATAATCGAGATATCACCAGTGAGAGGGTAAACTATGGTTGTGCTCGAAATCTCTGAGTGATCGGGATATCCGACTTTCCCATTCCCGTTTCGCTGAGATCGCCCGATGCTCTAGGAGCACTAATGATCCGAGATCTCCCCATCAATCATGTGCCTCTTTACGGAGTAATTGATGATCTGTGGAATATGCGAATCGACACTGATACTGGAAGGGAAAGTTTCCGCGCGATAGGCCATGGACTATCGGTATGAGATTGAATAACTCTCGAAGTCTCTCACGGGAGACTTCGGAGAATTTCTCTTGCTGACTTCAATTATCGAACCGCCTTATCAATCAAAGCCACCGGAGATATTCATGCCTCTACCTGGGGCTGACGCTCCGGGTGCCACTTCCTTCCCATGAAGCCCTCCGAGAACCGATGGAGGGTCTCTCGCCCGAATCTTTGGTGCTTTGCTACACAATCGACTGTCCCTCGCCTGGACGAATACTATTCCTCCTTCCGGTCAATGGCGCAGGCATGCACTGACAGACTGGGCCATACCGCCAACAACAGCAGACCGATTCGCGATCCGCAGCTCGTCCACTATATTGTGAAAAGCTCTAGATGTCGGATAACAGGTCTGGGTGCACATGGGAGTCCTCATCGATGCGCAGAACACGTTCATCTACGGAAAATTGTCCCGTCGATGATGCTGAGCTGATCTGGATCGGAACTGGAACCCGAAATCCTGTAGATGGGGAACCTCTCGATCTGTAGAAGCTCCATGCTGAATGGAGAATTCCTCCTCCTGGCTTTCAGAGGGAAGGTTCATCGTCAGATGATTTGCTCAGGACCCGAGGGTTCTCGTCAGGCTTTTGGAGAGTCGCCTCGGATGGACATGGATCACCGAGGGTGAGGATGAGGCGAGGCGCGAAACGGAAGCATACGAGAGAAAATTCTGAAGAGACCGCTGGCGCCGCGCACAGAAGCAGGAAGAATACATGAGAGCGCGATTGCTGATGTCACTCAATGGAGGACTTCACCTCTCCACCAAGGCGAGGACGGAAGAGGAACGCCTCCCGCGAAACGAGAGGCTGACGACGATTCCTCTAGCATCAAATAGAACATTATCGCAACGATCCATGATGCTGATTCGGAGAATACTCCGCTCGCCTACCACGCGCGCGACTGAGCTCATCCGGCTCTCGTCGAGCTCCTTGCTCGTCTCGGAAAGACTCAGCCAAGCAGGATGTCTGAGTTCGGAGACGATGCGAGGCTCCGCACAGCTGATTCCTCACAAGCCTGGAACATGCCGAAAATATTAAAATAGACGGGCATCTCCCAATATATACGAGAAATAGTCGGGCAGTCCCCAATTAGTCGAACAGTCTCCAATTAGTTGGGCAGTCTCCAATATTCGGGCAGTCTCCGATAGCCGGGCAGTCTTCAATATTCAGGCAGTTTCCGATTGGCGGATTCTGGCTCAGAGTGCAATGAAGGATCCGTTTCCAGTATCTTCGCCAATCGAAACGCCTGTCTTCGGAATCAGGTAAATCGAAAAATAAACGGGCATGCCCGTTTATTTACGGTATCTCCACAACCCAATCCTCTGGCCAGCCGGTGTCTATTCGACCGCGAATCGCTATTATTGTCTTCCCGACTTGCAGACCCACTCGCTCATAAGTTATTACGGGAGATCGAGAACTAAGGAATTTCTGCTACCAGGGACGAAGTCTTGTAGGAATCTCCATCATCTTCCGAAGCTTAGTCAAGACTCCATAATTCGATTTTGTTTGTAGATCGAGCCGAAAACCACACTAGGGAAGAAATCGGCCCGTGATCAAGACAACGAATGTGATCGCAACGGCCAGGGGATCGCCACGATCGTACAAGGGTCCTACCGATATTCCGCAATAGCGTAGAGCCCATTGAGTTAGCTTCCCACTGCAAGCGAGATCATGGAATTGATCGGTATGCTGTTCTCTCTGAGATCTATTCTGCTCCCGCGTATCCGGGAATTCTGAGATCCCCGATCACGACTCAGACCGCACATCTCTCGTATGCATCGAAAATTATTTTCGGAAAAACTTGACCCGATATCGAAGTTCACGTTCGCGGTTCTCGGCCCCGAAGAGTTGATCGTTCACCTCTCCTCGGAGAAAGATGTCGGTCTGAAAATGCGCGTACATTTATCATGGAGTTGAGGAAGCTTGAAGCTGCCACAGTCCTTCCCGCCTCCGGTAGAATCGAACGCTGGGTTGGACTCTACCTGCACTGGACGCTGCTGCCGCGGTGTGAGAGGTCCTCCGATTCGGATTCCGGATTTTATTGAGAGTCAATCTCCGCTCATCGTCTGTTGCGGGTAAGCAGCTGACGCTACCTTGTGTGCCTCCTTCACTCGAGAGACCGGAATTCCGTTCCCTCCGAAGTCCTACAATCGCATAGACCCAAGTGATCACCAATACCATAAGCTCGACCACCGGTGAAAATTTTCAAAACATTCGAAGCTCATAAGTACATATCCAACTGCACGTCTCACAGAATTCCGGGACCGTTCTCGGTGGGATCTCCCGCGGGACAAGTCTATTCACGAAGCTCGAGATGGAGAACTCTGGCACCTTCCTGCCTCCCCAAGAGAGATTTCCTCAAAAACCGCCCCCGGCGCCATTCATCGAAGAAGAAACTCGGAGCTCTTTCACCGATCAACCGTCGAACCCATCTTTCCCTGTCGTTCTGGATGAAGGGGGGACACCGTCTCAGAGTCTTGACGGTACAGACGATTCCAAAAGCGGGAAAACCAGGAAGAAACTAAAGTGTATTGACCAGCACATCGCTGAGCAAGCTCTCGGTAAGTTCGGAATTCACGTTCGAAGCATCCGAGAATCGCGTTGTCTGTTAAATCAAGAAATTACGGTGTTTCGCGCGATGATCAAGTAATTAAGCCGCATCATACACAAGCAGCTCGACACGACATCCTGATGGAACATGAGTGGCCGCCCCAATCTGGTCATACATGGGTCCTTCAGGATAATCTCGGAGAGTTCGTCGGTATAAAGAACATAAAACGACGCTACCCTGAAATCACCCGCCGGAACATAGAAGCTCACGAGCGCGATTTCCTCAGAGCGAGGAATTATGTCACCGATATGCAGTGCGACTTGGGTTTGACAGCCTTGAGGTGAGTGGCCAAGTCAGGATCGATCGATTAAAAGCACAAAACTTCAGTCCGCTAGTTGGAGGGTTACAATTCCTTCTAAACACGTTTTTCAATTCATCACCAGATCCGACGAAGTCGGCGAACTGATAGCCAGGGAATTCCCGGAGAAGTTTCAAGAGTGGGAGAATCAACGGAAAGAACGGGCGAAGAAGCTCTTGCAGGAGCGCAAGAATCAGCTCAACGCTCCTCCTGCTCAGATTGATAAAGCGAAAATGGCTGAGATTGGCAAGAAAGCCATGGAGGCTGTGTACGAGTACAATATCCGTCTGAATACTGAGAGAATCGAGGAGCGGAGCAGCATCTTCGATCTGCAGACCCACACACTGTTGTTCCCAGCCCAGCGGAGAAAAGTATTCGCCAAGCCCAAATTAGGAAAATATCCCGTTTCCATCATCCCTGGACAATATCAGGACTACTACAGGTGAGACGACGAGAATAGTATCCGAAAGCGCATGTCCCAGAATTCCGTCGTCCATCGATCTCTCACCCGAGGAGATCGTCGAACCAATTTCTCTCGAGCGATTCGCAATGATTCTCATCATGCATATATCGTCTCCCTAGGGCCTACACACCGCATGAGTTGAAGTATCTTCCGCTCGGGACCGTTCTTTACGGACCCGTGACCGAGATCAACAAAAATGTGCTGGACAAACTGGCCGAGGAAGCAAAAATGGAGGAAGAAGAAGAGGATGAGGCAGACTGCTCGAACTCGGAGTGTGACGAAGATTGTCATCCAAGCGAAGAGAGCGAAGAAGAGGAGATCCCCGATGAAACCGGCTCGAACCTACGTGAGAATTGGTATGAAACCACAACTCAGCGAAAACTCATGTGCAAAAACTGCGAGCAGGATCTACCCGGGCTCATGTTCCGATGCTCCGATTGTAAAAAATGGTCACATCTCCGCTGTTTGGAGCTGCCGTCAGCCGAGCCCGAGTACCTTAAGAAGTATCCATGGCAGTGCATGGAATGCAAGACATGTTTCGTTTGCAAACGACCCGACCACGAGGATCAGATGATATGCTGCGATCAGTGCGATCGAGGCCACCACAGCTTTTGCGTAGGTTTGTGGAAACTTCCGCCGGGTGGCTGGGTTTGCAGACACTGCGGAGAGTGTTTCCAGTGCGGGGTGTACAAACCGGATTGGTATGAGGAAGACGAGGAAGCCCAATGGGTACGCTTAAATTAGTATATCTATATCTATGGTATATATTCATATCAGCAAAAATATGAATGATGATAATGATCAATGATTCGTGGCTCATGATAATCAGCCGCGGATGCCGAATTTTCAATCAGACTTACGTTCTCTGCAGGTGCACGAGTACAAACGAGGTCCAATGTCCGTAAAAGAGAAGCGAAAAGTCTATCAGATCTACTGCGCCAAATGCAGGGTCCCGAAGCCCCGGAAACCGCGGCCTTCCCACCTGAATCCAAAGGGAGAGGGTGAAGACGCAGATGAGGTCATGGAAGATCCATCAATGGTTGAGGGTGATGACGACAGCAAAGAGGAAGTCAAACTAGAGTTGAAGGAGGAGCTCAAAGAAGAGATCAAGGATGAGGCGAAGGGAGCCACCAGAGGCCCGGGAAGGCCGCGGCGAGCCACCAGAGGTAGAGCTCGGAAAACCTTCCAGGATGCCGACTCATCAATGCAGGAAGGTTGAGGTCGGAATCTCAAGCAGCGGAGCGATCGTTCAGCCGGCAATGGTGGTTCTTTGCCCGAGAAAATGGAAGCAGGATGACTCATCCCGAAAGCACCCTTCGGTGCATGAATAGCTCCGAGTTTTGCTGTTTCGGAAGAAGAGATGTACAATTAATTGGGACTGTTATATAATTTAGAGGAAAATCATTTCAAGTTCTCGTCCAGTCGATGTGAGCAATCAGTAATCCTGAATAAAGCAAGAGTTCTAACTCCAGACAGTCGAGTTCCAAAGTTCGCTCGGTTAATTTTCGTCTTTGCCGACATGACGCGCCCTCGAAGACCTCTGCGAGTTCAGAGGGAGTCTCGATACTCGCCGTGTCCGTGAAATGCAGACTGATTGTACTCAAAGAGGATGATTTGACCCTGCCCAAGACCCAACTCATAATTAGGCTTACGCTTCTGTCCCGAGGAAGTTACGAGCATTGCCTCTGCTCAGCGCGTGGAGACAGCGACGTGGTTACTGCCAGCTACTTCTGTATCTCGCACAATCTTCCGCTGAGCGTCGAAAGATCTGATTGGATGGGGCTGATTCGCATCGTGTATAGCGAGCGTGCTAACGACGCTGAAGGACCCGGATTCTCGCAGCTCAGATCACTAAGATTACCCCTTTCTCCCGCAATCAAAGGGCCATGCTTCGACTTGTCTCTTAAATTATATTTTCAGAAGTTTATCACTCAGATGATGGAAACACGTTGATATACAAAAGGAAACCTTCCAAGAGTTTCTCCTGAGTTCCGAAATCAGGTTTCCCTCGAACATCTCACTAGATTTGCTCCAAAAATGGTCCCTTCAAGCACAATATCAGACCTTCTTCCTTCAAGGTGCTCGGCTCCCCCTACCTTGGCTGTACAGACTCCGTAGACGCCTGAACGTCATCATATATATATGTTTATATGCATGAAGGTACGTCGTTATGTCGTCTTGGAATCACAAGGATTGATCTTGCGACCCTAAAACTATCCAGGTAAGGTCGCGGAGCGACTTTGTTCACCAGTGACTTGAGCGATCTCGCGTCGAGCGACAGCTCCTGCAGTTCCGGGCGAATAGATTCTAACAACAATCCTTTGGGTATTAACAATGTAAACCGACGACGACTAGGAGGAACAATACGCGCGTATCAAAACGAACCCTCGCGGCTCTTATTGAGATCATTCCACGTGAGAGCTGTCTTCTCGGCGCCGCATTCTAGCGATTTCCTTGATGCTGATTCTCAGAAGACAGATAAGAGCCAAGAGATTCGAGATCATGACCATGAGGAACACAGCGAGCCATCTGGGCAGAGCGTTCTTCAGAACCGCAGCGAAGAGAGGTCCAAGAGCGGCTCCCACCGATCCAGTCCCATCGATGATCGCAGTGACCGTCGCCAAAGCGTTGCTCTTCTTATTAATCGACGGATGGCAACCTAGCTCGGCCGAGACCGCTGTAGTGATCAGTGCGTATGGACCGTTGACCTGGAACGGGAGCGGTCGATGCTTACGAATTCTCTCATCGATCTCCATAAGATGCGATATTCTTCTCAGGACGAATGCACGATTGCATCTGGGCATCCCGCGTGCCGATTCGGCATGGGTCGGGAGCACCGACTTACCAGAAATCCCGTGCACAGCAGTAAAAGCACGTTCAAAACGACATTCACCGTGCCAAACATTTTGTACACGAATAACATCGGTATAGCCAAAAAGAGGAACACCACTGAAGTTGTTGCGCTCGCGCCGGTTCTGAAGAGAAAAACGTCGTGAGTCGTTATAGCTTCGGATGAGATCGTGGACGATGGAATTTAGGTCGAAGCGCGATCTTCAACGAGTGGGAGGGAAGGATAATGGAGAAGAAGCTTCGATGAAAGAAGTACCTTCCATAATTCGTAAAGTCACCAGTCTCACCTATCGGACAGGTATCCGGCTAGAATACCACCGAATATACCGCCTATGTCGAAAGCGGTCGAGAGCTTTGCTGCCGTTTGAGCATCGTATCCCGTCGAGCTCTCGAGGTAGAGAGGTAACCAGAACAGGAATGTATAAGCAACGAGTTTCGCAAAGAACAAGGCGAGCGAAAACTCGATGACACCTGTAAAAGACGACCGATCATGTGATCAGAATTCTTCTAGAATCTAGATCATTTTGATCAGAGACCTGTGAGGTTTAGGCTGGAAATTATCAAGTATTCATCGATGGGTAGGAATAAGAGAGATTTCGAGTACAGCTGAGCATCCGTCGATGTACACTTCCCCGAGCCCACATAAGTCGGTGCTTTTGAGTCGGTGTCGGTACTTCGGATTCCAGAGTGAATGCCTACGGGATTGTTTGTTTCTCCGAAACCATCAAAGGCAGCTCGGATATGAGCTCGAGGGTTCGTGATAGGTCAAGACAAAGAGGCTGCGAAGTATTGATGACGTAGGTCCTTCTTCAAAGTTGCTTCTCGAAGGAGCTCGCTCGCTCAAGATTCGTGAATTATCACCGTGCGCGGTATCGCTGACAGCGTAGAAACTCACAAACGCGATTAACCCGAATACTGTAATCACTGTCGAGTCCGCCCGGAAAAGCTTTACGTCCCCTCCAATTCCGAAGAGATTCCTCCGCGTGGGAGGTACCCGCTCCACTATGTTCATTCTCCTCTGTGAGATCGAGCAAGATCGGCTGATGCTCATGGGGTTTGGATCAACGATATTCTCCACACCAGCACAGCAGCTGGTGCCTATGAACGGTTAATTGAGGCTCTTTTTCGCTGTTTTCAATGCTATTCATGAAATCCGATCCAGTACCGAAGTTTTTACTCGAATTAGGTGAAGGAGAAATATTTAGGCGTTCCATCTAAACTGCCGCTGAAGCGGTCGAAGTGCGTTCCACAGTCCGTTCAATTCAGGCAAGTTCGGGAGGAAGTTTCCTGAGGACTTTGAGCTTTGGAATATCGGGGACTCCCCACACATCCACAGCACCAATCAATCTCCCGGCGCAGAGCCCGTGTGAGCTCACGGGAAGGGTGCGCGCTTGCATTTCGAGGCACTCAGATAGCGAGCGGATGCTGACTTCTGTACAGATGTCTAAAACCCGCCTGTCCCTTGCCTGAACTATCATTCTACGGTTCAAGAGGAGTGAGCTTCCCCTGCTCCGAATTCTGGGTGCTGGAGGCGGTTTACACGGCGACAGCTTCCGATTTCTGTGAGTTTCAAACAAGGCCACCTTGTTGGCCCTTGGAATGGCTTTCGCCCGTCGACCTCGCGCTGCTTCTTTGTGCCGTCAGGACAAGCCGACGTCAAAATCCAGGAATTCATTTGGCCATTTCAGCTATCCGGGAAAGCCCTCACTCTTGATTAAAGCATCAAGAGGGATTCGCCGTGACAGATTTGTGAACTAAGGGAAATCTTCAGCTCTATTATAGTCCGCTTTTTGTACGATATCGATCACAAAGGACTCGCGAACGCACGTGAATAATCCAGGATTTCACAGAAAGGCCACTTGGCGAGATAAAAAAAAAGGGATTCCAGCCCGATCCTGGACTGACGTCAAAATTCTACGAGCGATCCTATCTGCCGTGCGTCAATTCGGCCGATGCCCGCTCCTTTTGTCAACGCTCTTCGAACGTCAGTAGGAGGACAACTCCGCCCCGGACCCTCGAGCTTTTCTTCGAGAATATTCGAGCCAACAGCGGTTCCGATCCGCTAGATGTCGAACCCATATCGATGCAAGTCTCAATCGCCGAGCGAGAGCCCGCTTTTGGAATTCGACGTTTTCGACGACGCGTTTTCGCGCGCTGCGTTGGAAGATACTTCCACAAAAGTATTAATGATATGATATCAGAATCGCGACGATGATACCGAGCGCCGATTTCCCCGCCTTCCATATCTCTCGGGGTAAACGGATCGCCTCCGACTTGGAATAATCCAACGAGCAACCAAAGCTTCGATGCTTAGTTCTCCGGGATTCCATTGTACGAGCACGGAATTCGTCTACGGATCGAGATGACCAACAATTCACCTCCAAGTCAACGCCGATGATCCGAGTCATCGTTTGGAAAGAATGCACTCGTCTGGCTCTCTCCCGTTTCCGAGCTAATTCGACTCGATCTATTTATTCTCGCTGAGCCGTTCTCTCAGTGGATCGTGTAACTTTCATATCAGAGTCAGCTCGACTATGCTTCTCCGAAGGCCTCTCCGACGGCGTCACCACACGATTTCAGCTAACGGAGAGAACTTTCACAGCTTGGATAGGGAGTTCGGAGCAGCGAAGGACATTCACTCGATTCACGAGCAAAAAACCAGTTTCAACATGGGTCCATGTTCTCAAGGGAATTCCTCGGCTCCGGAGTCGATCGCTATCAATGCGGACCCAGATGAAGAATTATGACGAATTCGATTCCGAAATTCGTACCCCAGGCTCAGTGGTGTGAAAAACTCGGATTCCTCGAATTCGAGTCATCTGAATGCGAAATTCGACTGATTCTCCGAGATCAAACGGTTCACCGCAGGGCTTTCAGGTGAAAAAGAGAGAGCTAATTATCCGGAGTTCACGCTCGACGAAAATCGGCTATGGTTGAATTCGATTACCGTCTCTCGAACGCGGAAGTTTCACCTAGCGAATTTCTGGCGCACACGAGCCCTCGGAATCCACGCCCGAGTCGCTGAGTCATGACCGAGAGAGCAGAGATATGGATGAGCCTGCCTCCCCCCTACCTCGGGAATTCATCCAGCGCATTTCCGCCGAAAACATGCGTAGAGATTCCCGAGGCCTTGAGCCTACATCACGGAACCACGGAGGAGTATTCTTGCTCTTCCAGTTCTGTCCAGCTGCTCCGCATGATCCCGCAAAAATTCCATCGAACAACTGCGCTACATTCCAGCATATCGCGACGGTAAACATCACAGCGGCCACGCGCGTAAATATTCCAGTGCAGGAACTCAGCCGTCACCACCGGAATGAGTTCCGCTCGGCTGACAGGTTGGGCATTGCAGGGGCGCAAGTCAGCGTTTCGACTCCAACATATCTAAACAAGTATGGCCCGATCTCAGACCTAAGAAAAACTCTCACCTGGGATAGCCAAAGCTCTGAAGAAAGAAATCGCTTGCTTGTGTTCTCCGGAAGTTTCCAGTAGTGCCGTCCGTTCATCGGGACCGATCTCTCGGCCGCGCGACATACTGGCTCCCGCAACGGTCACCAATGACTCGTCGTCCGTGGCATCCGCCCCGGCGGGAGCCTCGCTGTCAATGCCGACTTCTTCCGGAACCGGTGGGACGAACAAGAGGACGAAGAGACCGACCGCGCAACAAATCAGACCGGGTACGAAGAACGACATTCCCCAATTGTAGTCGACGAAGGATCCGGCAATCAAGGCTCCAACGATGTTTCCCACCGAGGTATGGGCATTCCAAATCCCGAAGATGAGACCCTTTTTAGTCTTGCCATACCAGTTGCTCATGAGCGTGACTACGGCTGGCCACCCAGAGCTCTGGACGCCCCCGGAAATTATCTGCACAATCAGGTAGAACCAGAACGAATGCAAGTTCAAGGTATAACCGATTCCAAAGGCGTAAGTCATTAGCCCGGAGAGCATGAGCCCCAGCGACAGGAAGTATCGCAGATGCATCCGCTCCGCGACGAAACCGGACCCGAACATACATATCGCGTAGGAGAACAGGTACGCGGAGTCCAGATATCCGAAGTACGGACTGTCGCCAGAGAAGGGTTCCCAATCGCACCATGTGCCACTCTCGTTTGCGGGCACTGTCCTGTTGATCTGAGGGCGGGCGGTGGAACAGTTGCCGTCGTGATTCAGCACAGCCTTAACGACAGCGATGGGTCTCCGAGTCATGTGATAGCACAAGTACGCAAGGAACGTCGACATCAGAATGAAGTACCGATACCGTCGGAGACGTGTCGCAGGATCCAGACGCGGGAAAACCGTCCATAAGAGACGGAGTCCGAGGGGAGGTGGGAACATCTTGTCCGTGTGGGTTCCGGGCTGGGTTGTTCACTCGGAACTTTTTTTTGAGAATGGCCTCCGTTCCATAGGAGCATCACCTGAACTTGCTATCCAGCTGATGCTTCACCAGAAGAGACGACGCTCACGAGAGAGGAGGAGGCTCCCTCACCCAATTTAGAACCTATGTGGGCCGGAGACTGCATGGAGCTTCCCACCGCCGTAGACTTTCTCAAATGCCTGACTCACGGCCCGCCTCACAATCGCACTCGCTTCTCTCACTCTGGAGTGCATTCTCCGAATCGGCGCCCCAGCCACAAACACGTGTTGTAAGAAACATCGTCACATGTCTCCAATCGTGGCGCCAAAATTCAAATGACATGTCAAGAGCGGAACCCGGAACCCTGTGCGCGAAATCGTCACGGATGCGCGCACGGTGCGTATCGGTACCGGAAAGTCGCGGAATGATAAGCTCGATGAATCTTGACTGTAGAAGCTGTCATAGAATCTTGATCCTCGAAGACTAGACTACCGGGAATACCAGAGAGAGCTCTCCTGGGATCTCCCGTAGGACAAGGGATATGACACATCCTAAGGTGGCCGGCGCGAGCTTCCTGCAGGATACTTCGGTTTCCTTTCGCTCGAACACGGAGCGATCCTTCAGTCTTCCCTCTCACCCAAGTACATAGATTACGGTGACGAGCTCTTCGAGCACCGTCGGGTGCGTCAATGTACACAGTCAGCCACAGGCGCCTCATCAAGATTACAAGTTCCGTCTATGACTCATGATCTGGAATGCAAGTTCTGCGGGGCGGAATATCGTTGAAATCGCCTAGCGTCGCCTTCAGAAAACTCGGAAACTTCACAGAAACCCCAGTTTTCCTTCGAAATCGCGGATATTCGCGGTCGTTCCGAATCCGCGGCGAGAGCGGCTCCCTACAAAAAAAAAGCGCAGGCAACTGACTGAGTCTCTAACTCAGTCGGGTTATGGGTCTAGCTACGCTTTTTCCCAATCGGCTTCCTCCTTCGAATGCCTCACGGGTCCGAATATTTGTTCCACAAAACGTAGCAACCAGGAGGTTGGCGGAACTGGAGTACGTAGACTTAAGTACATACGGAATGTATCGTAGGGTGGGGGTTCACCACTGCCATCATCATTCCAGTCGACGTAACCCCGGGATGAGATTAGGAGACCTTTTTCTGACTGCTCTGCTCTCTCTTATCTCCCAGAGATGGAGTAGAGTCCCAAATCATCGACAACAGCTCTACTGCACTGGCCTTTCACTTCGATTTTATACCTAATTGGAATACAACTTTCAAGGGTTTCTTGGAAGGCAATGGGTACGCTCAAGGTGGTGATATTGAGTGACATCCTCGGGCGAGAAAATTGTCATGCTATGAGGTTCGTTGACTGCTATATCTGCTCACAGTTAAAATCGTATTCACCTTAAAATGATGAGATTTTTTCGTATGGATAAGAGACGCCAATTCGAGCCATCGCGGATATCCTCGAATTTTCACGCTTGACCATAATGAAAATCATGCTTCCATGCGTGCAATCATAGTTCTCCCCATCAGAGAATGGTTATACTTCGCTCCAATGTTTCTGTGGAACCAAATTGTGTCTATGAAGGCACGGTTGGATTTCGAAGAGTGAGACCGCCTCCTTTCTCGTAAGTAGTTGACGGAATCGAGCCGCTCTCGTCTAGCCGGTTGAAACTGCCGAAGCTGAACATTTCTTGCCATCATGATATTCGTGCTAAGATGAATGGTCCTCGAGTAGACCCGAGCCCATATTAAGGCCTACTTCAACCTACAACCTGACTGATGACCTTCTGGCCATGCCTCACGAGCAGTCCCACATTTTTGACCATGACAATTTTCCTCATGAAATGCTTTGTTTTAGAGGATTTCGACGATCAAGTTTGTGACCATTTTTCACGATTCGCACCCCATCTTGTCCCCATACCGGGGGCGTAGTTCATCGCTAATAAGCTTTACGTTCAAACTTCATATCGAGTCTCGATCCGGCCATGTCTTCGGCTCGCGAAGGAGCTCAAACAGTGGCCGGCTCCCACCGGGCTCCGGTTGGACTCGGAACACCTTCGCCTTTCAGAGCCTGATTCCATGATCTAGGGGCAAATTCCTCTAGCTTGTTTGGAGAAACTTCGATTCATTTACGAGGGTGGAAATGACGAATTTTGCTGGAAGCGCCGAAAACCGTCGGGAATCGCGGAGAAATTTACATTTGTACTCATGGTTCAAGAAATGAGCTGAGCTGTGTTTATACGAGACACCATTGCCGCGCGGCATCCCATGTTTTCCCACAGAGGAAAGGTTCTCTGGGGGCTGGAACGCGATCGATTCTACATTTCGCAAGTAAGCTGCCTCGACGAACGCCCATCCTTTCAGTCGTAAGAATCCCTCCAGCAGCAAAGTGGCGAGTATTCGTCATTCGAGCAAATCCGACCCTTCATTCTGGCAACGGAACCAGGCGGTTCATTGACTGCGATATCTCGGCACTATACCATGCTCCTGGATTAGAGTGGAACTCCCAGACAAGAGAGGAGAGCATTCGCGTGCGGACAATACTGAGAACGAGTCATCCGAAGAAGGATGCCGGATGTCGCATGTTGCGGAGAACAAGCCACTCGATCTAAGCCATATCTGGGATATCGATATTTTCTCCCGGAGGAGTTCAAGGAACAATTAGGCTGCGCCGTCGGCGCTCGAAATCATCAAGTCTCGGGTGGAGGTCACTAGATTCGCCACGTCGGTGAGATTCGTGAGGTGAAGCTGCAACAACATCCTTCGAATCAGCGAATTGGGGGAAGTATTCGGGTATTCCCTCGTGTTCGTCGCCGTCGCCCGCCGCAACGACTGAGGACTTCTCTCGGAAGTCGGAGGGATCCCGGGAGGCTTCAGGAGTTGTATCATCAAACTATGTTTTTCATAATTTTTGGAAGCTTAGCTTCCGTCCCATCAACTCGGGTGCGGGACTGGTCGCAACAGAGAGAACCTGCGGCTGGATGGCGTTCTCGCGGACGTATGATGCAGCCGAGTGAGCTGCTCCCAAGGACTCATCAATGAAGATGTCTCGCCTCTCTCCCTCTTTTCGTGAACATGATTGTCCGTTTCGCAGCGAGCGAAGATTGCTCCTACGACTTTTGTTCCAACGTGTCGCATGGCATACCCACGAAGACCGCGGGAATTCTTCCCTCCGCCGCGTGGAAGAGAATGGGGCTTAAACGCCGAAGGCGTGTTAGAGCGCGGCAGTTGATGTACTCGCAGATTTCGACGGAGAATTTCCGCGCTCTTCTTGAGGGCCGATCACAAAGAGAGATAATGATGCATCCAGCCCTAGCTCCTCTCTTCTATGTGCAGCTGTGCGGACCGTGACTCAGCGTCCGCGACGCGTTGCTCGTTACCCGAGGTCTCTGACTCCGGTAATTGGATTGTGGACGAAATTGCATTGCATGGTATTCAACATCTATGCTCGTGTTCATGGAGCCTGATCTCATAATTCGAAAGCTCTTCACCTCGACCTCCGGAGAACTTGAGGGGCGGAGAACGCCTTGAAATCGTCGACGAAGGAAACTCTACGAGCTATACGCCGAGATCTATCCTCCCGTTCCCAACTGATTGCGCTCCTTGTCCGACTTCCCTAAGCTGATTTCTCTCGGCGTTTCTCGGTCGTCCTGCGTCTTTATCGGATCCAGTTTCCTCCAATTATGCGAACGGGGGATAGTATCTTGTCTCCTTTCCATACCTTCGCTCATGCTTCGACGTGGAAAATCTCCCACGATCCTACGCCATCGTCGAATAGCCGGCTCTGTATAAAGGAATCGCCGTCGGATCCCTAAGAGATCATCCCCAGTAGTTGAATACTCCTATGTACCCTACAAAGACTATACGACATGGCAAGTGATGACGGCCACGTCTGCCAGGAAAGAACCACTAGGTCGCATCGGAAATGCGGCTGTAATCGCAGCTCGCAGCTCGACTGCAACCACCTTCGACGATCCCTATCCGCCGCCGCAGCGTGGGAGCGCGCGAAAAAATTGAAGCAGACGACGCGCCGAGTGAGCTTGCTTGTTGATGCTATTGCTTTGAAAATTTGCGCGACCGTTGGCGAACGACAACGGAGAAGGAGTTGTGTGTATTGTGTTGAGATTGAGATCTCCTCCTTCAGAAACTTCTGAATTGAACTCTCGAGAGAAACTCGGTCCGTTCTCGTGTGTTATTCCATGCTACAGTAATCAACCAAAAATTCGAGACATGACGCAGCAATTGTCCGTTGTGGAGAAAACCGACGATTTTCTCCGGAGTACGGGGCCCAACGACAAATGGTTTCGCTACCTCGAAGCCTTACTTCAGAAGTACGCCAAATTGTGGCGAATACGCGAGGACGAGAAAGCGAAGGTGAGTTCAAGTCAAGGATCTATCTGATTTTCACCGTGAAATATCTCCGAGCGAAGAGGAAACTTGCGTACATTTCAAACTCTCGGCGATTCTTCGGCTCCCGGTCGAGATGCCCCTATGTATACGCTTATATCTGAATGACGATCTCTCAGGAATCGATCGGATATTCAGAGAAGCTTCGAGCTTGGATTATTCGCTGATCCAGTGAATGCCTGTTTTACAGTTGGACCATTACACTCGGAAGTGCAGAGATGTAGAGGAGGAACTCTCGAAGAAGCAAGCTCACATCGTCCGACTGAAAGCTGCTCTCGAAACCGAGACACAGGAGCATCATCTGGCCAAGCTACAATTGAAGAAACTCGGAAGTCAGCTGCGCAGCGCCAAAGACTACATGATGGGCCTAGACACCCAGGATGAGAAAACCACCGATCTGATAAACACAATTTGCGCGAGTCCACACCCGTTCCGTATGGCCTCTGCCGTGACTTTGGGAAACAAATCCGGGTCCCTGCTGGATGATTTTGAGGACAATTCGATGTCGACCGAGGGCTCTGTGTCCAACGGAGATACTGAAGACGTGTTCATGTCGTTCCGGAAGCCCGACGATAGAGAAAAGGCCACCACTTCGGAAGCTGACATGAATAGCACTTCGTCATCTGGGCAGTCTTCGGCTTCTGCGCAATTCTCGGTGCCGCCGGTGCGCCGATCCCTGAGGAAACGAAATTCCAGCGAAGAGAGTGACGTTGTCATATCGAAGAAGCTAAAGGGTTAGTACGGCGTGATCACATATCTTCCCAACTCCCCTTCCCACCCCTTGGTAGACATCTATACGCTCATCGGCGGAGGACCCTAATATCCGACTAACACTTGTGCTCCTATCCTAGCCGGCGACAAAGCTTCGCTGATCGTGTCCGTTAATGAAGACAACCAAACCGTATGTGCCGAAGCTCGTATCCAAACAGCTTCGGCGTCGAGTCGCCGTCGCAGTAAGAGTGTAGACGCTCGTTTGGATGGCGCTACGTCGTCCACACCCCTGGCTCCTTCGCGCGATCCCATGAGAACTCCCATGAAGGATGAAGGGTCTCCGTTGTATCGGAGCAGTTCAGCAAGCAAGCTGATGAACAGGCAGCATACGTGAGTTATCCCTCTTGGAGCCCGGGAGCCCAATCGATAATGCGCTCTCCCATCAGTGTGAGTTCCAAGATCCATTCCCCAGGCGGAATGAAAATTCTATATCTACGTTTTAAGGTTCTTGACCAAGACCGTCATGGTCTTCGAGAATTGTGGACGGTGCAAACGCCGCCTGAAGTTCTACAAAGAAGCTCTTCGCTGCGACGATTGCCATTTGACGGTTCACGTCGATTGCCGAGACGAAGCCCCCCTCCCGTGTATTCCGAAATCGAACAGGGTAGGTTGAGCTTATGATGTTTGAGGAGATATCAAATCCATGAATTAAGGTCGGTGTCCCGTTTTGCAGCCAAAGGTACATGAGTGGTTTGTAGACCCTGTCTTCTCCCTCTTGGTGGAACATTTCGGTCCCATTCGATCACATGGGGAGAGCAGGTCAATCTGACCCGAATTCTACTCTGTTTTCGCAGATGACGGGGAACAAGAGCCAGAGGCTCGTGGACTTCTGTCCAGTAGTTGGACCACGCGTCCCGCCTATCCTGATCAACTGTTTCCATGAAATAGAAAAAGCTCACCGTATAAAAGAAGTTGGCATCTATCGTCTGAGTGGTGCGCAGTCTCAAGTACAGGCGCTTTCGCGAAAGTTGCAGAAACACGTCAACCACGATCTCTCCTCGTACGAGACCGCCACCATTACCGGTGTTGTCAAGCAATTTCTGCTCGAATCTCTTAGTGAGCCCCTGATCCCATCTTCTGTGTGGACCCACTTCGAGAAAATAACGGAGCCCGGCAATACCGACGTCGAGCACAAAATCCGCGGAGAGGTCGCTTCACTCCCGGTTCACAATCGCGACACCCTGGCGTTTGTGATGCTCCATCTTAAAGTCGTAGAACAAGTTCCTGAGAATAAGATGAATCGACAGAACCTTGCTACGGTAAGTCTGCCTCTCCGGAACCTCGGGGGCGAGAATAGAATACCACTGCTCCTTGAAGAATTTACATAAATTCTGCGATCGAGAGTGAGGATGAGAAGAACGAACTACAAATTTCTGAGCGCGACTTCTCTCCACAGGTTTTCGCACCCTCCGTCGTTGGATACTCCCTGACTGCTCAGATGAAGCCCGAGCTCTTGCTCGCAGCGAATCAACTGGTCAGCGAACGAATCATGGCCTGTTTGTTGGACGTCGAGCCATCGTTCTGGGATAATATTATGAAGACGGCCGACAAGAAACGAACAACTCTGCGAGACCGTTCCCACAAAAATGGGGGGACGATCAGCTTCGCATCTCCTAAACTAACGTAAATGTCCCGCGGCTTCAAACTGTTCCGGGTATTGTATGATTATAATGAAGTTAATTCCCACCAAGAAGTATGACATGCACGACGCTAAAGCGTTTCCCCAACTGCCTCTGGACGCTGATTAATGTAAATCATCGAGGCTCATCCATAGTAAAATCGAGCGTTCGTGAACACTCCTGCCTCTTAACTGAAGAATAGATAGACCCGGGAGCTCACTCTCATCTGATCACCAGCGTCGATCATCCCGTGAAGTAGTACATGGCAGTATTCGCCTCCCCCCACCAGATCCTTGCTACGTCCCTTTCGGTGGCTGGGTAGCCTCCGGAAAAATTTTTTAGATTTTATATAGGTATGGATAAATATAATTGAACCCCAGGTATCTTGCTCACCGTAGTCGTAGGGAACGTGTCTTGCTCTTACGAATCAGCTCAAAATCGGCCTCTGTGCTTCAGAACCAATATTGCTCGTCGGGACGAGGTGATCTTCGAAGGAGTTGGGCATTGGTTGAGATCTCCAGAGCGTGCGAGGACTCCGGAATCCCTGTTGCCCTTTGATGGCTCAAGCTGTACAGCTCTTGTTTTGGATAGGGTTTGACGTTCGTTTCAGGCTCTTAGTGTCCCTGAGATTATTGAATGCCATCGCTGTTGCAGTCAATGATTAGTCAGCTGTGCGGTCAACTTGGAAAACAATGCAGAATCCATCAGGACGCGGTGCGACCACACCCCTTAGAACTTCGAACAGCCCTTGTACAATAGCGTTCGACGCGAGCCGCGGTTCTTGCGAAGGTTGGCGCTTCCTATCGGAGCCCCTGCACTAGAGCAGGCGACCGAGAAGAATAGCCGAACGAATGGAGATGTATGGGGCTCTGAGTAGATGACTCGCTAAGTTCCCGTGTAGCCTCGGCTCTATCTAGGGGAAAATATCCGAAAGGTGTCTGCCGGGCCCATTCGTTTCAGCTACTTATCTAGCTCGCAGGCACTGCAGTGGCCTGATGGCTCGGACGGCGGGCGACGGCGACGTCGATCGACCGAATCTCACCGATGCGCAGTAGCGATGTGAAACAAACAGATGGTTCAGTGGTAGCACAGGCATAAGCGTTCATGGAAAAAAAATGAACGAGGAGATCAAGCAAGCACACGGGCCGGCGACTGGTCATCCATCTATCTATCTATCCATCTATACACCATAAGCATCGCTTCGGAGCAGATCGTGGCTGTGATTTTTCATTTTTTCCCTGCTACATAATGCTACACCGCCGAAATTAGACGATGCTTTCGTCGAGATGAAGAACGACGGAACCGACGGATTGGGGGAAAAACTGGTACTTCACCTGCGATACTGACCGTAGCTCGGTTGCCCGGACGATCGTAATGAAGTAAATGATTCATGGCGAATGACGAGACTCGATCGTTTTTCATTTGTGCCCGGATTTTCCACGCTGTCTCACTGACTGAGATTCTCTACTGATATTTATTGTGCTTCACGGGTCCGCGGATGCCTGGAAGATTTTGAAATCATATTGAATACATATTCATTTTCGTGTCATAGCTTGCGCACATACTATTCCTCCTCGTTCCAAACGGTCCTCGTCAGCACGCAATTACCGGTACTGTGCTCCATCTTGAATGAGTGGAAGGCGTGGAAGGAAGAACGCGCTCAATGAGTCAGAAAAAAAAATGCAGGGAGTTCTTCAAAGCAGCTGATTCTAGGGAGGTGTGACCCTCGTTCGGGGAAGGTGCTCGTGGTTCTCGAGATCGGCTAATGTAGAGTAACACGGCAGTGATGCGCCTCATCTGGACCAGCGCTGTATCAGGAGAGACATATAGAAATCATTGCTGGTTATCGGTACCCGCGAGCTCCCGCCATGTCGATGAGCAACAGCATTCCCTAGAGCTCAGCTCTCGTAGCATCTCGTATCATATATCGGCTTGACCTTGATCCGCGCATGGAGATGATCTACCGGGGAGAAACGAGGCATCGTCCGGCACACGGTACGTTTTCCTATATCGACGGGGTCGGCCCGCTCCACAGTGATTATGTTGAAGTGAAGCAAGTTATGCTTTTTTTCCCTTTACCTTCTGGTCGTACTTATCGTTCTCAATCTGGCAGCGCGTCGTTTACGACAGCGACCAATCACCGGCAGACAGAGTTTCTGCTCCATCTCGCGATCGCACAAACCGGCTATCGGGTTGGATGCGCTCGCTCGCACAGACATTGCTGAACGAGTGTCGGTATCTTCATCGACGATCACCGATCTGAAGCGAGCGTCTTCAGCGTATACTCTGACCGTCTTCAGATACGGCACGGTTCGAGGCCTCGTCTTCTTTCTGTCTGCCATTATGCTCGGCTTTCAAGGGACATTATGGCGACGTAGATCGGGGCTTGTGTGGGGCGGCTCCGGAGCGGGGAGGAAATAATTACGATGAAAAAACAGAGCGAAATCTCGTGCGCCGTGCATCGGAACGACGCTGAGAAATGATGATTTTTGATATCGTTGAGTCGTCAGCCTGGCGGGCTGCTTCGCGATTAGAATGATGATTGATCTCTCACTTCATCGAGTCTCTCAATTCAGATGAGGCAGAACTTCCAGATCCATTCAGAGTTCCACTCCAATGTTCGAATCTCGTTCGAACGTCCCGAATCACTGTATACAGTCTAATTTGAGACTCGATTCTGAGTCAGACGCTCCTAGAGGAACCAGAAAAAGGTCCGGTTGAGCTAGATGTGAATTTCTCTCGGTCCCTCGGGCTGAGGAGCCTCGTACGTTCGTTCACGTGAGCACCCACGCAATTCTGTGAGAGTACTGATGCTCGTATCAAATTCTGCCCGTTCTGCTGACGGTTCCAATTCGCGGTGTTTGTTCGTCATTCTGTTTGTATGCGTGAGCGGATGACAGATCGACTGACCGGCCGCTCGCTTGGTCTACTCTTAGTCGGCTACAGGCGTGGGCGGAGGTTTGTTTTGGGCGCCCACGAACTCCCCATAATGTGGTCAAACATCAAGAGGCGTATTATTCTGTATTTCATGCCTCTGTACGGAACCATGTATCAGCGATGCTCCTGAATCCAGGAGAGTTTCACTTGCAATCGATATCGATGAAGTCGATGATTCCGATCCCCTCGTCGACAACGATCAAGCCTTTCGTTCAGGTCGATCGACGGCGCACTGTCCAATGAGCTTGCCTGTGCCGCGAGGCGTAGCCGACCGAATGAGTTCCCCAAGATCGATCTGCGTATGCAATGGATCATACCAATCTCGACAAGTCTCGCGACGCCAAATGAGGTGACGGCCACTCCCCGGTCGCCGTCGAGCGCCCAAGGAAACGCGCCGGTCATTTGAGTCGTGTTAGTCGAGCGGAGGTCGACTCCATAGTTCACATTCCGCGAGGACAGCCGGACACCTGGCCCAGGCGTCTGGCAGTGAGGGCGTTGAAGCGTTGTCGTTGTTCTTGTTGTTGTTGTTGTTGTTGTTGTCGAGTAATTGAACGATGTCTAACAGCTGTCGGAAAATGCCGCCGATACTGTTGATTGGGAGCTCGTTGGCTGACCTGAGGATGTGTGTCGAGCCCGAATGCGATGGAGCACGAATGTCAGCCCCATGGCAAGCGAAACCTTCTTGTCGGAGAGAGAGAGCAGAAGCGTTGTAAGCGAGCAAGATGAATAACAAGAATTCCCGCGTGGAACATGCGATCTACAGGGTCCATTCATCAAGACGGACTTTTCGTTTTCGATAGCAGAAGAAGCAGCAGCAGAAACAAGTTCATACAGGGAGCTGTATTGGGAGAAAACCAAAGGGATTTACGATCTGCTGAAGAATCGGTCACACGATCTTTGACTTCGGATCATCGTTTTCCTGACTAATCTGGAAATTCTTCAGGAACCGCGAAATGAGGCGATGAACCTTCTCGTGAAGGTTGGATCTATCCATAGAAGCTCTTCTCTGTCAGCTCTTCGAGTAATGGTATGGGATTTCGGAGCGTCTGCGTATGGATAAGGGGATTAAGGCGTGTAATTCCAAGTGACTGAGAATCCGAGGCTGTGGAGCTCCATTCGCAACGATGAATAACGTACGAGAGGCGAGAGGGAAACTCTATCATCGGAGGCGGCCCGCACGATAATTGATCCAATTATCGTGTGGCTTCAATGGAGCTGCCATCGGGAATTCACGATTTTTTTTTCGCGCAAAATCGCACCGATTCATGTCCCTAAACGACCCGCGGTTTGCCGTTCCTACCGATCAAGCGACTTCGTTGCTACCGATGGATTCGATTTCATTGCAAGCGTCGTGGCACCTCAATTACTTTGACAGGAGCAGGAGGAAGAAAGAAGAAGAAAAAAAAACAGGATGCGACCAGTGAAACATCGGCAGCTAGGTGCACCGAGAAATAATTGACGCTGCCTGCGCTGCATGAGGATGATCGTATGCAGCCGCGACGGAACCAGCGGTTCTTCGCTCGGAGCGGCGCTGTTCCAGTTGAGCCGATTGTATTTATTAAGATCGAGAAATTCGATCGCACGGAGGCGTTTTCTTGGTGCCGTGATGGCTCTCGCACGACAACCGCAGACAACTCAACGGAAAGCCTGGATCATCGCTTCTCCGGGATATCGCCATTCTTACGATGAAGTGTATCTCCACACCTCCGACCCCTTTCTGGACAACTCCTCTCGAGTTCTCAGGAATGAACTCATCGAGTTCTCCCGTCTTCGTTCCTAGATAGAAACTCGTCTATCGGCGGAGGCAACGATGAAGATCCCACCGAAAGCGCTGATCGGAGTGCGCTGTTTTAATTTCGCCGCTGAGGCGCTGTGTCCGTTCAGCTGTGTGTTTGAATCGAAGAGTTTGCCGCCTCTGCTTCGATAAGTTCTTTTTGCCTTCCTGCTCGCTAGTCGTCGTCTCCCTCGTCCGTTCGTAGCTTGCTTCATCCTCGTCGATCCATTCGCTCCTCAATAAGTTCTCTTTAATTGCTCTGGGCCTCCCATTACAAGGCGGATCTGACTTTTGACCCCGACTATGAGGTCCCAACCTCGTCTTCAAAACCAGAAACTGCTAGTTAGGGTTAAACTTTGAGGGATTGCCTCAGGGCAGCGTCAGATGGGGCGACAACGGCGACATCGGCGGGATTTTCTCCAGAGACAAAGGAGCACTGCTCATCACAGAGGAGAGATCA